ATAATTGGGATTAAATCTGGAGTATCTGAGAGAGTTAGAGCTAAGGAAGGGGTAGCAATAATGTTGAAGGATCAGTTATGGAAGGAGAAAAGAGAATATGAATGTGTAAATTCAAGGAGTATGTGGATTAAAGTAAAGGTTGGATGCGAAAAGTGGGTCATATTAAGCGTGTATGCACCTGGAGAAGAGAGGAATGTAGAGGAGAGAGAGAGATTTTGGGAGATGTTAAGTGAATGTATAGGAACCTTTGAACCAAGTGAGAGAGTAATTGTGGTAGGGGACCTGAATGCTAAAGTAGGAGAAACTTTTAGAGAGGGTGTGGTAGGTAAGTTTGGGGTGCCAGGTGTAAATGATAATGGGAGCCCTTTGATTGAACTTTGTATAGAAAGGGGTTTAGTTATAGGTAATACATATTTTAAGAAAAGAGGATAAATAAGTATACAAGATATGATGTAGGGCGAAATGACAGTAGTTTGTTGGATTATGTATTGGTAGATAGAAGACTGTTGAGTAGACTTCAGGACATACATGTTTATAGAGGGGCCACAGATATACCTGATCACTTTTTAGTTGTAGCTACACTGAGAGTAAAACGTAAATGGGATACAAGGAGAATAGAAGCATCAGGGAAGAGAGAGGTGAAGGTTTATAAACTAAAAGAGGAGGCAGTTAGGGGAAGATATAAACAGCCATTGGAGGATAGATGGGCTAATGAGAGCATAGGCAATGGGGTCGAAGAGGTATGGGGTAGGTTTAAAAATGTAGAGTTAGAGTGTTCAGCAGAAGTTTGTGGTTACAGGAAAGTGGGTGTGGGAGGGAAGAAGAGCGATTGGTGGAATGATGATATAAATGGAGTAGTAAGGGAGAAAAAGTCAACATATGAGAAGTTTTTACAAAGTAGAAGTGATGCAAGGAGGGAAGAGTATATGGAGAAAAAGAGAGATGTTAAGAGAGTGGTGAAGCAATGTAAAAAGAGAGCAAATGAGAGAGTGGGTGAGATGTTATCAACAAATTTTGTTGAAAATAAGAAAAAGTTTTGGAGTGAGATTAACAAGTTAAGGAAGCCTAGAAAACAAATGGATTTGTCAGTTAAAAATAGGAGAGGAGAGTTATTAAATGGAGAGTTGGAAGTATTGGAAAGATGGAGGGAATATTTTGAGGAATTGTTAAATGTTGATAAAGATAGGGAAGCTGTGATTTCGTGTATAGGGCAAGGAGTAATAACATCTTGTAGGAGTGAGGAAGAGCCAGTTGTGAGTGTGGGGGAAGTTCGTGAGGCAGTAGGTAAAATGAAAGGGGGTAAAGCAGCTGGGATTGATGGGATAGAAATGTTAAAAGCAGGTGGGGACATAGTTTTGGAGTGGTTGGTGCTATTATTTAATAAATGTATGGAAGACAGTAAGGTACCTGGGGATTGGCAAAGGGGACAAAAGAGAGTGCAAAAATTATAGGGGGATAAGTCTGTTGAGTATACCTGGTAAAGTGTATGGTAGAGTTATTATTGAAAGAATTAAGAGTAAGACGGAGAATAGGATAGCAGATGAACAAGGAGGCTTTAGGAAAGGTAGGGGGTGTGTGGACCAGGTGTTTACAGTGAAACATATAAGTAAACAGTATTTAGATAAGGCTAAAGAGGTTTTTGTGGCATTTATGGATTTGGAAAAGGCGTATGACAGGGTGGATAGGGGGGCAATGTGGCAGATGTTACAGGTGTATGGTATAGGAGGTAGGTTACTGAAAGCAGTGAAGAGTTTTTACGAGGATAGTGAGGCTCAAGTTAGAGTATGTAGGAAAGAGGGAGATTATTTCCCAGTAAAAGTAGGCCTTAGACAAGGATGTGTGATGTCACCGTGATTGTTTAATATATTTATAGATGGGGTTGTAAGAGAAGTAAATGCGAGGGTCTTGGCAAGAGGCGTGGAGTTAAAAGATAAAGAATCACACATAAAGTGGGAGTTGTCACAGTTGCTCTTTGCTGATGACGCTGTGCTCTTGATAGATTCTGAAGAGAAGTTGCAGAGGTTGGTGAATGAATTTGGTAGGGTATGTAAAAGAATAAAATTAAAAGTGAATACAGGAAAGAGTAAGGTTATGAGGATAACAAAAAGAGTAGGTGATGAAAGATTGGATATCAGATTGGAGGGAGAGAGTATGGAGGAGGTGAATGTATTCAGATATTTGGGAGTGGACGTGTCAGTGGATGGATCTATGAAAGATGAGGTGAATCATAGAACTGATGAGGGGAAAAGGGTGAGCGGTGCACTTAGGAGTCTGTGGAGACAAAGAACTTTGTCCTTGGAGGCAAAGAGGGAAATGTACGAGAGTATAGTTTTACCAACGCTCTTATATGGGTGTGAAGCATGGGCGATGAATGTTGCAGCGAGGGGAAGGCTGAAGGCAGTGGAGATGTTATGCCTGAGGGCAATGTGTGGTGTGAATATAATGCAGAGAATTCGTAGTTTGGAAGTTAGGAGGAGGTGCGGGATTCCGAAAACTGTTGTCCAGAGGGCTGAGGAAGGGTTGTTGAGGTGGTTCAGACACGTAGAGAGAATGGAGCGAAACGGAATGACTTCAAGAGTGTATCAGTCTGTAGCGGAAGGAAGGCGGGGTAGGGGTCGGCTTAGGAAAGGTTGGAGGGAAGGGGTAAAGGAGGTTTTGTGTGCGAGGGGCTTGGACTTCCAGATGGCATGCGTGAGCGTGTTTGATAGGAGCGAATGGAGACAAATGGTTTTTAATACTTGACGTGCTGTTGGAGTGTGAGCAAACTAACATTTATGAAGGGATTCAGGGAAACCGGCAGGCTGGACTTGAGTCCTGGAGATGAGAAGTACAGTGCCTGCACTCTGAAGGAGGGGTGTAAATGTTGCAGATTAAAAACTGTAGTGTAAAGCACCCTTCTGGCAAGACAGTGATGGAGTGAATGATGGTGAAAGTTTTTGTTTTTCGGGCCACCCTGCCTTGGTGGGAATCGGCCAGTGTGTTAATAAAAAAATTAATGTATATATATATATATATATATATATATATATATATATATATATATATATATATATATATATATATATATATATGTATATATATATATATATATATATATATATATATATATATATATATATATATATATATATATATATATATATATAAAAATATATATATATATATATATATGTAAGTAAATGCTAGGGTGTTCGGGAGAGGGGTGGGATTAAATTATGGGGAATCAAATACAAAATGGAATTAACCAAGTTATTTTTTGCTGATGATACTGTGCTGATTTTTATGGGAGATTCTAAAGAAAAATTGCAGAGGTTAGTGGACGAGTTTGGGAGTGTGTAAAGGTAGAAAGTTGAAAGTGAACATAGAAAAGAGTAAGGTGATGAGGGTATCAAATGATTTACATAAAGTAAAAATGGATAACAAATTGGGGAGGAGGAGTATGGAAGAAGTGAATGTTTTCAGATATTTGGGAGTTGATGTGTCGGTGGATGGATTTATGAAGGATGAGGTTAATCATAGAATTGATGAAGAAAAAAAGATGAGTGGTGCATTGAGGTATATGTGGAGTCAAAAAATGTTATCTATGGAGGCAAAGAAGGGAATGTATGAAAGTATAGTAGTACCAACACTCTTATATGGGTGTGAAGCTTGGGTGGTAAATGCTGCAGCGAGGAGACAGTTGGAGGCAGTGGAGATGTCCTGTTTAAGGGCAATGTGTGGTGTATATATTATGCAGAAATTTCGGAGTGTGGAAATTAGGAGAAGGTGTGGAGTTAATAAAAGTATTAGTCAGAGGGCTGAAGAGGGGTTGTTGAGGTGGTTTGGTCATTTAGAGAGAATGGATCAAAGTAGAATGACATGGAGAGCATTTAAATCTGTAGGAGAACGAAGGCGGGGAAGGGGTCGTCCTCGAAAAGCTTGGAGGGAGGGGCTAAAGGAGGTTTTGTGGGTGAGGGGCTTGGACTTCCAGCAAGCGTGCTTGAGCGTGTTAGATAGGAGTGAATGGAGACGAATGGTTTTTGGGACCTGACGAGCTGTTGGAGTATGAGCAGGGTAATATTTAGTGAAGGGATTCAGGGAAACCGGTTATTATTATATAGCCGGACTTGAGTCCTGGAAATGGAAAGTACAATGTCTGCACTTTAAAGCAGGGGTTCGGGATATTGGCAGTTTGGAGGGATATATTGTGTATTTTTATACGTATATGCTTCTAAGCTGTTGTGTTCTGAGCACCTCTGCAAAAAACAGTGATTATGTGTGAGTGAGGTGAAAGTGTTGAATGATGAAATTATTTTCTTTTTGGGGATTTTCTTTCCTTTTGGGTCACCCTGCCTCGGTGGGAGATGGCCGACTTGTTGAAAAAAGAAAAAGAATATATGTATATATATATATATATATATATATATATATATATATATATATATATATATATATATATATATATATATATATAAATATATAAATATATATATATATATATATATATATATATATATATAAATAAATATATATATATATATATATATATATATATATATATATATATATATATATAATATATAAATATATATATATATATATATATATATATATATATAAATATATATATATATATATATATATATATATAATATATATATTAATATATTATTATATATATATATATATATAATATATATATATATATATATTATATATATATATATATATATATATATATATATATATATATATATATAATATATATATATATATGTAGAGGGAAATATGACATATTATACATTAAATGTGTTTCAATTAAGAGATACATATTAAGACCCAAATTTAAATAAGTCACTTTGTCAGAATTTTTTTTGGGGGGTTATATGTAATTTACACATGTTACTATATATAATAATTTGTGTAACTGCATTTATGTGTACCAATCCCTGAATAAAATTACTTATATACTTATTTATCTGTACCTAAATAAACTTACTGACTTATTCATGTCTGTTTATTTTTGGATCAGCAGCAGCAACAACACTGGTCTAAATATATTACTTTATCGCAGTTTTCACGGTTAATTGTGAGTTTTATCTATTGTATTTTATACTGTGAAATGTGTACATAATTGTGAGTGTTATTAATAAGATAATACAGTATATAATGCAGTATATATGTGAACTTGGGTAATCTTGTGTGTGGATGCCAAAATTTTTAATTATCAGAGGTTATTTTTGTTCTAGTTTTGAGTGTCATTACTTTGCTGCATGTTATAATGCTGTATTTTTATAAATAAATGTTATTACTGTGGGTCAGGGAGACAAGCACTTATTTACTTAGCTAAAACTGTAGGTTATATATGTGCTGTCACCGGCACGTCCCCCTGTAGTGAAGGCTCTTGATCCAGGGAATTGGAAGCGTTCTTCCCTTCCCTCAAGGGAAGAGGAGTGCCTTGATGCCAGTGAAGGGCTCTTGATTCAGGAAGTTTGACTTGGCCTTCTCCTTCCTCTCAAGGAGAGTTTCTTGCTGGTGAGGGGCTCTTGTTCCAAGGGACTGTACCTGTCCTTTATGTCCTTATATCAAACTTGTTAACCTCCTCCCATTTTCTCAGCTATTGTATAATTGTGGCTCTAGGCTTTCTTTAATACTACTACTAATACTACTTATGCTACTTATACTACTATTACTTATGCTACTTATACTACTACTACTTATGCTACTTATACTACTACTTCTTATGCTACTTATACTACTACTTCTTATACTACTACTACTACTTATACTACTACTACTTATACTACTACTTCTTATACTACTACTTATACTACTACTACTTATACTACTTATACTACTACTTATACTACTACTACTACTACTTATACTACTACTACTTATACTACTACTTCTTATACTACTACTACTTATACTACTACTTATACTACTACTACTTATACTACTACTTCTTATACTACTACTACTACTACTTATACATTGTATATCGGGTTGCATGCAGCCAACAGCAACAGCTGGTGGATCAGGCCCTGATCCACCATGAGGCCTGGTCACAGACTGGGCTGCAGGGGAACTGACCCCCAAAACCCTCTCCAGGTATACTACTACTACTACTACTTATATTACTATTACTACTTATATGACTACTACTAATATTACTACTACTACTACTACTACTTATATTATTACTACTTATATTACTACTACTTATATACTACTACTTATATTACTACTACTTATATTACTACTACTTATATTACTACTACTTATATTACTACTTCTACTACTACTACTTATACTACTAATACTACTACTTTTACTACTACTCTTTTGTGTATACCTGAATAAACTTACTGTTACTGCTAAGAATAATACATGTAATAATAATTAACAGAATTATTGTAGAATAAGAAAAACAAAATTTTACTGAGTTGATTAACCAGAAGAATCAACAACCCAGGAAACCTATAAAAAGAGCCCATCGTTGTAGCTTATTTCTATTGGGTTCCTTTTGATCCTCTTTCCCAGGATGTAACCCACATGTCACCTAACAACATGGACCTACTCACTGCTAGGTGAACTGGGGCAGCAGCAGATGTAAGGAAACATGATGAATATGTCCACCCATCCCAGGATAAAACTATTGAGTGCTTGTAGCTCATTTGGTACCGGCGTCAGCTCACACACCGAGGGACTGGAGCTTGATCCTAGGACGAATGGAAATGTTAGGCATGTTTCCTTACACATGTTGCCCTTGTTCACTTAGCAGTCAGTAAATACAGTGTAGCACCTTATTTACTGAATTTGAATTAGGTGGAAAAGATAATATAACCTTTATTCAGGATTCATGTATGTATTTACAAATAATTTTAGACAACAGTTTAAATTTGTTCAGTGGTTCGGAAAGGACATAGATGTTGTAAGCATAAATTTTGTGAAATATGTGAGGCCATTTTATGAAGAGTTGAATGTTAGGTAAGGTAAGGTTTGTCAGGAAACAGTTTAAGTGTTTCCTGACTCGGGTCTTAGTCATGTGATGACCTGCAGCTGGAGCTTTTGATCATCTAGAGATTTTAGGAGTTTTCCGTTGGTCTTTATACAGTATAGGCTAAGAGGAGCATATTGTATAATGTAAACTTTGTGGAAGATTTTCTTTTGTGATTCTTTCATTTGAATTTTGCTTCATTTTCAGTTAACACTATAGCTATGGGAAATTATAAGTCAAGGCCTCAGTCAACGTGCTCTCAAGAGCTTCTTAGAAAGATTTTAGAAAATTATGCTCTTTTAGAAGAAAAGCTGCAGGAAGACCTGCATATGGAGGACATTGATGATCTGACAGAAGGCAGAAGAGTCTTATGGTATGTAATAGATAATATTATAATACAGTATAGATACTCTTAATGACTGTTATAATTGTTTGTGTTAGCAGAGTTTTTTTTTTTTATATTTTAAGATACTGGTACAAGTGGTATTTTTTGACTCATTAAAATTATGTATATCTGTGGTTGAATTATTGAACTGTTGAAGTGAACAAGTTTGACGTTCCTATCCTTATCATTCATAACTTCATTAATAGAGTAAAGTACTCACTCTCTTTGAATGACATTTTTCAGAATGATTTCAAAGTTAAAGTTTTTACTTCTCCTCCCTCCCCCTTGTTTTATATTTAGACAGTGAACATGAGCAATGGTGTGCAATGGGCCCATGAATAATGTTTGGAAGTCTGTACGTAAGATGTGTTCTCAGAAGTGGCAGGGGCTGTCAGCCTTGACTTAGGTTTATCAAAAAAAAAAAAAAAAGGGAAATGGCTGGAGTGTACTTGTTACAGACAATAAAGTGGGAGGAGGGGTATATTTGATGTCTTATATAAAATACATTGAAGATACTGGGATGTGGAAACAAATTCTGTAACCTAACCCCTCATTTATTCTAGTAAATTAAGGTATAAGTAAATCCACATGAAATAGATGGCATAAGGCATACTGTATATTTTGACTTAGAACAAAGGCCCATTATTAGCTATAAGCCAAAATGTACTCTCTATAGCTCCTTTTACCTAATATTTCAGTTTCTTCATGCAAGTTTGCTTTCACTATTAACTTTCATTTATTGCACTTGTATGGTATGGTAAACTAAGCTCTCTTTGATTGAATTCACCCTGAACATATTTCCTAGGAATGATTCTCTGTTCAGGCAGGGAGAACTGGAGCTAAGGAATTTATTCTTGTATTTATTTTTGTCAGCAATGGAACATCAGACCATTTGATCAATCTAAATTCTGATGCTTTTGGTGAGAAGTTAGACAGTGGCCTGAGTCTCATGAACCTTTGCTGCTTATCCACTCTTGGTGTTAAAATTGATGAAGTGAAAGAGAAGAAGGAAGAAGACGAAGCATTATCTCGGGCCCCTTGTTTCATCCAGCTTGTGAAGCCTTCACGTGACAAAAATAATCGGAAAGAAGAAAATCAAAACACCACTAAAGAAAATAAAAGTGAATTGGAGAAGTGCAAACATCAAATAAAAGTTCAGACAAACAAAGAAATAAGGGATCAAATTCGTCTTTTGCTGCAAAAAGGAGCTGATCCTTCTATTATCAGTAGAAATGGGTTCTCACCACTTCATTTGGCATCTTACAAGGTTAACATAGTGTTTGGAGTGGTAGCCTTTCCTGCCTGCTTGAAGTGATTTCACCATAATCTACTCAGGGATGTTTGAATGGTGTGTATAACCTAACTTAGATATATAGTGTTTTGTACATAGCCTACATGCATTTTTCTTTACATACATATTCCTTAATATGATTATTTTTGTGGAGTTGTTAGCCTATATCTCTCTCTCTTATTTTAATAGATTGTTCCTATAATTAAAATATCTATCTTTTTCTTATTGTACCATAATTAATATTTATTCACAGTAGCCATAAAAAGCTTGAGAAAGGTGGCAGTATTTTACTATACAATTCTGAATATTAATATCCACCAGTCATAATCTATCTCTATTGCAATTTATAGTTTTTTGTGGCATAAATCATAGCTATTGTAATTCCTCTCTCTGCTGTTCACAGTCATATGTATAACATTGTGTTTATTAATATATAATAAATTAAAATAATATGAAAATTACTCTGCAGGTTACCAGCTCACATAAAGCATCATTGCACAAGACAATCAAATCAGAAAAAAATTATATTAATTTTGTCACATTATGAGATACATTTAACTTTTAGCAAGAGAGAGTCAGACTTTTCACACATACCGCTGCACGACAAAGGATTAAATCTAGACAATATAGGAAGATAATGTAGAAAGAAGATTACTTAGATATCTTAATGGTTTCTTAAGAAATAAAATGATTCCAGGTGCTAATATCTGCAGTAGACATCACTTAGATATGCATTTGATACACTACCAGACACCATAAAAGATGCACTCTGTAATCTGCCAGGTCTCGGCTAGAGCTGACATTATTTGATCTAGAACTAACCTCTGCCTCCATCCTCTGCCTCAAGAATAGCCATTGTTGTGTTTTGTTGGCTTAAAGAGCCTAACAGACTTAGCTCTTGATCTGTTTCATTTTACATTCTGTTCTTGCTTGCAAGAATTTTTCTTGAAAGTCTTTTGTTACGTCACTTATAAAACATGGTAGACAAATTCATTAATCTTATCCTACATTACACTAGCACTGTAACTTGTATAGATATGTTGAGTGTGGATGCTAAAATATCTGTTTTCAACATACGCTAAAGCAAAATTGGAATACGTAACAGTGGCTTGGTGCCTACACCCAAGAAAGCGTGGACATTCTTGAAAAGGTCCGGAGATGAAGTGTAGCTGTTTTGAGAATGACCTCTGAAGTTTAAAAATATGAATTAAAATGTCAGTTGAAGAGAGATTTCTGCATAAGGGACTGTGGGAGACCCTGGGGAGGTCCATGGTTTCTGACACCTATCCTGGCAGTTTGATTGGTTCTTGGAGCTTTTGGGGCAAGTCCTAGCTGTTACTGGGTACAAAAAGTGAGCACTGACATGATTGTGGTTCCAAAGGAGGACTTCTTTTCTGAGTGTAAATTCCACATTGGACTTAACTGGCTCATTGGGGACAGAAATGTGTTTATCAAATGAAAATATGTTATTGTTTCCCCATTTATTCTTCTTCAATTGTTTTATATTCTATAAAGTTGCAGTGCACTGTGTGCATGTCTGTTAGGGTTATTTGCAATGACAATCTATTTTCATGGCTTATATTGAAGAGTTAAGCAATTATGAGTACCTAATCTTCAACACAATTGTTTTCAGTCTTTGTTGCGATGATGTCATGAATTATATGTATCCAGCATTTATGTATTCCTGGCATTTAATATGTTTTTATTTTTTCAGGGTGAAGTTGAATTAGTGCGACTATTTCTTGAAAAATGCAATCACCTGGACCACGCTGGTGCAGGGAGTGTAACTGCCCTTCACATCTCATGTCTTGCTGGTCACCTGGAGGTGACTCAAGCTCTGGCTCAGCGGGGTGCTAACATAGAGGCTCGGGATGCTGTCTCCTTTTCCCCACTCCATATTGCCTGCCTCTTTGGAAATGAATCTGTAAGAGACTTATCCTGCAGAAAAGAATTGTATATGTAATACTATGTTCAGTGTGTTAAACAGAGATTTGCATGACACCCATGGATATCAGTTGATTCTCAGACATGGGATGATAAATATCTCGTACATAGTAACCTTTTAGGATATATTAGAACATTCTGATAATGTTATTAATTCTTGCGTACTTATACAGTATTTATGATACACTTATCATTATCATCTTGTGATTTTATCTATAGTATTTATTGATACACTTATCATTATCATCTTGTGATTTTATCCATAGTATTTATTTGTGTAATATTTCCTTTTCAATTATCTGGATGGAGAAAATAGGTTATAATTTTTACCTCTAAAGCTGTGTGTCATAGAAGACAATTACATTGCTTGTAACTAGGGACTAGTTATCATTTTGCTGCTGGTAATAACCAAACTGAGAGATTTTGTTATCATTGCTTATTGACATGTTTGTGGTCCTACTGGGCTGAGGTGAACGTATTTGGTTCTTGTGTTGATGTGGAAGTAGAATTGTCAGTAGTTGATGGTTGTGCTGGAGTGCTCAGGTATTCTGTAATGTGTGTGTTTGATCTGTTTTACCCTGCGGTATTAACCTCTTTGGTATTCTTATCTCTAGGTTACAATCTGCGCTACTAATTGCATAAGCTCTTTTTTTTCTTTTCATTGTCTCTAATTCAGTATCGTCAGAGATTCATGCTTATTCTTCTTGGCACTTCTAGTATCTCTAATACGGATGGTACAGTACCAAATTTTTTGCTAATACCAGTACTCAGTTTTAGGCTAATACCAATACATATACCATCAAAATTGGCTGATGCCAATACTCCATTGTAAATTGATGTTGATACCGATACCATCAAAATTTGCTGATACCAACTGATATCGATGCTTTGGCACACCCATAATCACAAGTATTTCTCTTGAGTGCCATTGTTAATATCCAGAGATGAGATGGAGTGAGGAAAATCAGATGACACTCCAGAAAAACTATAGCAGATGTGTGACATACTATCTCTGCTACAACTCAACTCTGGGCCCATTAGGTCAGAGGAAAAATTCCAAATCAGTACTACCAAGATCTTGCATGTAACTTGAAGATTCCATGCTTAGGCTACCAAAATTGTTTCAATGATTGAAAAACAAATGCATTCCTTAATTATTTTGGTCAAATCACACTAAAACCATACCCCGGCGATTAACCTGCGTCATAGATCCAACTCAGCACTCGCGCTAGCCACTAACCAGGAGGGTTGAGTTTTGAGATCTATTAACCGCGGTTCAATCGGCCGGGATGTTTAATTTGCATGTTTAGGTTCTTATCAAATCACACTATGTTGTGCTGCTCAGTAGGGTGGGAGATGGCCGACTTGTTAAAAAAAAAATAATAATAATACTGTATTAATAATAATAATAATATTTTATTTCAGCATGATACAGTGGTTGTACAGAAGAGAATGACATTAGGTGTACATGCTGAAAGCCCCTGTATGTGCAGAGCATTTTGGGTAAACTTAAGACTAGCTAAAGGTTTGCTGTATACAGGTGTACAGTATAGTACTATAGTACAAATATTTGTTTATATGGTTGCATCAGTATAATATCTTTGGTGTGATTTGTCTGTTTTTGCAGGTAGTTGAGTATTTACTGTCACGTGGAGTCGATGTTAATATTGCAGGATCTGTTGGTGACAGACCACTGCACCTGGCTGCTACTCGAGGATATTACAAAATTGTACAGTTACTTCTCAAAAAAGGAGCAAGAGGTTAGTATAATTAAAACACTGTGAAAATTAAAGCATGTTTAAGATGGTAGAGTATTTATTGACAGCAAGATGTATTGAAACTTTACTGTTGTTGGTCACTGCTATCAGGCACTGTATGATCCCTATGGGTTTAGTGATTCCCACATGAATGTTGAAATAATATTCTTGTTTACAACTGTGTATATACAGTATTACCATAAGTAACCTGTAGTTCGGTGGAATATCATATACTTGACTGAAAGAATCAGAGATTTGCAGATGGAATGAGACATAACAACGCTCCTTGTACCATGCTACCTGTGGTAATTTAGCAGTAAAATAGATACTTAGGTATACCTGGAGGGTGTTTCGGGGGTCACCACCCCCACGGACCAGTCAATGACCAGGTCTCACAGTGGATCGGGGTCTGATCAACCAGCCAAGCTGTTACTGCTGGCTACAGTACGATGAGCTGGGTTTAAGAAGGACTTGCCTATTATGTTCTGATAGGCCTGTTGCAGTGTGGCTTTGTTCTCATGTTCTGTGGAAAGACTTCAGTGGAAATTAATCACACTGAGGCTTTTTGGGTTAATTTTTTTTTAACACATGGGCTATTTTCCACCAAGGCAGTGTGACCCGATAAAGGTGAAATGCTTTCATGAAGTTTTTTCCTTTTTACTTTAGGTAATTGATACAGGAGAAGGGGTTATTTTTGGGTTATCGTAAGCTAAAAGAAAATAGCTTGAAAGTTAGTTACTGTATGTAATTTTAGAATATGGTATATGAAAATTTTCAGTAGCTGTGATGTGAATTTGTAATACTTGTTACCGAATTTTCTTGGTGTTGAAACTAAATCTTAAGATTATTTAATTAAAGATAAACTGAGAAAAAATACTATACTGTATTGTTATTTTCCATAGAAAATGTTTTATTGGTTTTATCAATACAAATATTTTGTTGTGTACAGCTTTAAGTGTTGAATCAGCTTGATTGTTTGTTATTGATGAGACCAACATTTTTTATTCTTTTAAAAATGGTTGTTAATTCTTTTAGAAAAATTGTCATATGTTTAGTATTAAGATTGTTCACTAAATTCAAGGAATGATTAAGCAGCATATGCTGTATATAATTGTGGGGCTCTTGATCCAAGAAATTGGACCTTTTGTCCTCTTCCTTAGATCAGATCTGAATGCCTCCTATTCTTCTAGGTGCTCTGTGTCCCCTACAGGTCAAGCACTCCCCAGGAATATAATAAAATATTATAAATAATAATATATATAATTGTATTTTAGTATGCCTGTGGTGCTGTATTCACATTTGGTGTGATTGCTACAGTACAACTCCAGGATGATGAGGGTAACACTGCTCTGCACTGCTGTGTAAGGAATGGACACTTCAGTATCCTCAGCTTACTGCTACAGCCTCAGTATCGTACAGATGCTCACATCACTAATGTTTACCTTGATACTCCACTCCATGTGTATGTATATTTCACTCTCCACTTCAGTAATTCCTCATAGTTGACAGATTTGGGTTTTTGCTGTTGTATACTTAGTTTTCCTGCATGTTTCATGAACCCAAAACATATAATACACAGTATGTGTATAAACACCCCTCTTTCAGAGTGCAGGCACTGTACTTCCCATCTCCAGGACTCAAGTCCGGCCTGCCGGAGATGGAAAGTGCAGTGCCTACACTGTACTTCCCAGTTTATAACTGTAGTGTGAGTGTGCCTCTGGCAAGGCAGTGATGGAGTGAATGATGATGAAAGTTTTTCTTTTTTGGGCCACCCTTCCTTGGTGGGAGATGGCCGATTTAATAAAAATAAAAAAAAAAAATGTGCATAAATGCTTTAACTTGCTTGGACTTCCAGCAAGCGTGTGTGAGCGTGTTAGATAGGAGTGAATGGAGACGAATGGTACTTGGGACCTGACGATCTGTTGGAGTGTGAGCAGGGTAATATTTAGTGAAGGGATTCAGGGAAACCGGTTATTTTCATATAGTCGGACTTGAGTCCTGGAAATGGGAAGTACAATGCCTGCACTTTAAAGGAGGGGTTTGGGATATTGGCAGTTTGGAGGGATATGTTGTGTATCTTTATATGTGTATGCTTCTAAACTGTTGTATTCTGAGCACCTCTGCAAAAACAGTGATAATGTGCGAGTGTGGTGAAAGTGTTGAATGATGATGAAAGTATTTTCTTTTTGGGGATTTTCTTTCTTTTTTGGGTCACCCTGCCTCGGTGGGAGACGGCCGACTTGTTGAAAAAAAAAAAAAAAATTCTTTTCTGATCATTTTTTTTTTTTGACACACTGGCTGTCCCACTGAGGTAGGGTGACCCCTAAAAAGAAATACTTTCACCATTCATACTATCGCTGTCTTGCCATGTTAAACAATTCTACAAATGAATATAATAATTTTGAATTCACCATTTATGTACTACTATGAATTATGTAACTCACACAAGTTGTTAAATTAAGACTTGCCTGAAATACCACGCACAACATAGTCTTTATAGGAGTGCTTGTCGAAATTGTCTTTAAATGTTCGTACTTTATTATAAGTAATCTAGGCCTTGTCAGTAATTAGATATTTTTATTTTTACTATTTAACTTGCACTGATTTCAGAAAAAAAGGCTAGAAAGATAAATTTATGAAGAGATGAAGACATTAAGTGTTTTTAAAATATAGATTTACAAGGAAATGTAATGAAACAATACTAACAATATTTTATTAGGTGTAAACTACATTACCTGTACACCAGAAAAGAAATAAATTATTTATATTTGTATTTATCAAAGTATTTCCTTCATGCTAGAATATTAATTAGTAGTGTAAATGGCTGAGCCAAGTAAGTACCATTTTCCTTTAAATTATGAAAATATTTTTCCACAGAGCATGTTACCATGGATGGATTGAGTGTGCCAAAGCTTTGCTGACTTATGGAGGCTCCAGTCTCCTCTTGAAAGAGAATCTCTGGGGAGAAACTGCTTTGCATGCAGCTTGTACTGGAGGACAGTGTATAGACCTTGTAGACTATGTACTGAGCCAAGATGCTGCTTCAGTTAATTACCAGGTACTGTATACTTGGGAAAATTTTAAGATATACTCGCTTGTATGCTCCTTGTTAATATTTAATACATCATTAGCTTATTGCTGGCTTGATCAACTAGGCTGTTGGTGGTAGCCATACAGTTCAGCATATGCACCACAGCCCAGTTGATCAGAAATTGGCCTGAACAACTAATCAAGTTTCTTCTTGATGACAGCCAAGGGTCTGTTGGTAATTCCTCATATGTTCTATACAGAATTGCCAAAACTTCAATTTCAGATGTTATTATTAAGATTTTATTGAAAAATACAGTCTACAAGTTTCATATGCTTAGCTTTTACTTTCACCAATTTCCCATAAATCATTTTATTCTTCACTGTATACTGAATCTATCCAAATCTTTTTGCAAGATTTTAGGAATATTTTCTGGTTTGCTTAGTGTTTACATTATTCCCATTGCCTCGGGCATATCATATACAGTGTTATAACTTTTTTTTTTTTTTTCAACAAGTCGGTCGTCTCCCACCGAGGCAGGGTGACCCAAAAAAAAGAAAGAAAATCCCCAAAAAGAAAATACTTTCATCATCATTCAACACTTTCACCACACTCACACATTATCACTGCTTTTGCAGAGGTGCTCAGAATATAACAGCTTAGAAGCATATACGTATAGAGATACACAACATATCCCTCCAAACTGCCAATATCCCAAACCCCTCCTTTAAAGTGCAGGCATTGTACTTCCCATTTCCAGGACTCAAGTCCGACTATATGAAAATAACCGGTTTCCCAAAATCCCTTCACTAAATATTACCCTGCCACACTCCAACAGATCGTCAGGTCCCAAGTATCATTCCGTCTCCTTTCCCACTCCTATCTAACAGCTCATGCACGCTTGCTGGAAGTCCAAGCCCCTCACCCACAAACCTCCTTTTACCCCCTCTTTCCAACCTTTCGAGGACGACCCCTACCCCTCTTTCCTTCCCCTATAGATTTATATGCTTTCCATGTCTTTCTACTTTGATCCATTCTCTCTAAATGACCAAACCACCTCAACAACCCCTCTTCTGCCTCTGAAAAAATGCTTTTTTTTAACTCCACACCTTCTCCTAATTTCCACACTCCAAATTTTTCTGCATAAATATTTACACCACACATTGCCCTTAGACAGGACATCTCCACTGCCCCAACCGTCTCCTCCTGCTGCATTTACCACCCAAGCTTCACATCCATATAAGAGTGTTGGTACTACTATACTTTCATACATTCCCTTCTTTGCCTCCATAGATAACGTTTTTTGACTCCACATATACCTCAACGCACCACTCACCTTTTTTTCCCTCATCAATTCTATGATTAACCTATCCTTCAAAAATCCATCCGCCGACACTCAACTCCCCAAATATCTGAAAAACATTCACTTCTTCCATACTCCTCCTCCCCAATTTGATATCCAATTTTTCTTTCTAAATCATTTGATACCCTCATCACCTTACTCTTTTCATGTTCACTTTCAACTTTTTACCTTACACACATTCTCAAACTCCCTCCACTAACCTTTGCAATTTTTCTTTAGAATCTCCCATAAGCACAGTATCATCAGCAAAAAGTAACTGTGTCAATTCCCATTTTTAATTTGATTCCCCATAATTTAATCCCACCCCTCTCCCGAACACCCTAGCATTTACTTCTTTTACAACCCCGTCTATAAATATATTAAACAACCATGGTGACATTACACATCCCTGTCTAAGACCTACTTTTACCGGGAAGTATTCTCCCTCTCTTCTACACACCCTAACCTGAGCCTCACTATCCTCACTATGTAAATTAAAAACATTATTACAGCAAACACAACTTTTTTTTATTACCCATTTGTGATTACTTATTTGTAGCTACAGTAGTATATGTGTTCCTAGTGTCCTATCCTTAGTGTTTAATTTATAATAATTTTTTTTAATTTCTACTGGTAGTAATACTTTCTTCCCTTTTTTATTCCTTTCCTTTGTTTACCACTCCAAGTATAAAAGAACCTTTTTGTTCACTGGAATTCGGTTCAATCTTAACTTTTTTCCATGCTTTTGTGTTCCTGGATTTTGTCATCTGACATTGGCAATACAGTAGATCCATATGTTCCTACATTATCTCTTATATACTGTATTTCTCTGCAGGTTGGTATACAGCCTTGTCTCTTGCTTCTTTGTGCTTCTGGTTTAAAATTATTGTTGTTTTCTGGATGCAGTTACTTTCCCAGAATGCATCACCCCACTGTACTTGTACCAGAAAATAACTTTACTCTTCATAGTTGCCTTTCCTATACGTATATTGATGTGAATGTTTGCTTGCTTTTCTGTTTTTTGTCATTGTTTCTTTCAACGCACCACCCATATCCCCCTGAGGTGGGGTGCCCCAAAAGGACGAACGAAAGTTTCTCCTTTTAAATTTAGTAATATATACAGGAGAAGGGGTTACTAGCCCCTTGCTCCTGGCATTTTAGTCGCCTCTTACGACACGCATGGCTTACGGAGGAAGAACTCTGTTCCACTTCCCCATGGAAATAAGAGGAAATAAACAAGAACAAGAACTAGAAAGAAAATAAAAGAAAACCCAGAGGGGTATGTATATATATGCTTGTACATATATATGTAGTGTGACCTAATTGTAAGTAGAAGTAGCAAGATGTACCTGAAATCTTGCATGTTTATGAGACAGAAAAAGGGACACCAGCAGTCTTACCATCATGTAAAACAATTACAGGCTTTTGTTTTACACTGTTTTTTGTCATATACAGTATAATATAAATATTAAAATTTTGTTGTTTCAGAGTCCAGATGGCCACACACCTCTTCACTCAGCATGTTACCATGGCCATACAAGAATAGTTCAACTTCTGTTGAGTCATGGAGCAGACATCAACCTTACTGCTCATGATCGGTGTTGTAATTCTGAGAAGAAGGTGAAGGAAAAGACAAATTTCTTAGGATATTCAAGCCCCAGTACACTGTTACCCCATGAAAACACAATAAAATCAAGTAGTGCTTTATTTGTTAGGGTCCTTTGGTCCTCTTCCTCAGAATTCAACCTATAGCAGTCAATTTGGGTACCTATATACTGCTAGGTAAATGGGCATCAGGTGTAAGGAGAGTTTCCTGTATGTATTGGCTTGGCTTGTTATGAAATTATTATTTTTTCATTTTCATGGGGTGGAAAAGGGAGAGATGTGGGGAGGTTACTACTCTCTGAAGTATGAAAAAGTTTCATTGAGAAATAAAGTTAACATTTTTCATGGACATTTGAACTTTTTCATAACCATACTGTATTGTACCTTTCTCACTGCATAACATCATACAAGCCTAATAACATCACTGGCAATTTTTTTTTTAATAACACACTGGCTGTCTCCCACCAAGGCAAGATGACCTGTAAAAGAAGCAATGCTTTTTTTTTTATTTTTACATTTATTAAGTTTTACAGGAGAAGGGATTACTAATCCCTTGCTCCTGTCATTTTAATTGCCTCTTATGACACACATGGCTTACACAGGAAAGATTCTTCACTTCCTCATGGAGGTCTTGCAAAATATATACAGCAGTATTACACTTCTTTTAAATGAAAAGGATTCTATATGAGTTATCATTTGAATGTTGATCGTTTGTTCCCTATTATCATCATGCTTCTGTATAGTCTTGATCATTGTCACTTGTGAATTCACCTTAATCATCATTGTGTAGCACATAGTGTGAGCAACTGTCTCCAGTATAGGATAATTATTGAAGTTGCCCTCAATTTGTGCACCCAATTAAGAAATAATGAATAATTCTCCTATTCCTTCTTATTTGGTATCTGTTATTGTATTACTGCCTGTTCTTTATGTTTCCATTATTCTGTATTTATTATTTTCTGTGTTTTCCATAGTTATTCCCTCTGCCTACACCATTCATCTTTCCTGAGGTTTTACTATCCTGTAAGATAATACTGCTTGTGTTTTACTTTCATGCAAGGTAACACTGCTTATGTTTTAGTCAGCTTTATTTGCTGTTGACCCATGTGGTCTGTCTCCCAGCTCTCTGTCACATTCACATGAGTCTGATACTTCCTCATTCCCATTTTTTGTATACCTTTTTTCTTCCTCGTTCGTTCATGTATAGTGATTATGAATTAAGTAAAATTATTGTATAGAGCTTACGTAACTGAAGATTGTATCTAATTTGCACTGCTTAGGTGAGTAGATTAAAAGTCTGCAGTAAGCTTATTAGTAATCTCTGTCAATTAAAATATTTCTAAAGCACAATGAATGAGGCGCACGGTAATCATTTTTTAATTTTAAGTAAAGATAAAGATTTTATTTCTTTGTAAAGGATACAATGTGTAATTACAATTTTGGTTTGCTAATTACAAAGAAATTCCATGGGGGAAGTGGAACAGAATTCTTCCTCCGTAAGCCATGCGTATATATTACTAAATTTAAAAAGCGAAACTTTCGTTTTTCCTTTTGGGCCACCCCACCTCAGTGGGATACGGCTGGTGCGTTGAAAGAAAGAAAGAATTACAAAGAAAGTCACTATCATGCCGGGGCAGTTCTAGCAGACTGATCCTAGTACATAAAAACTACTTAAATCTAGACAAGATAAGAGTGTTTAACTTGTATTAAAATCTTTATTTAGTCTTAATACTAATGCAAGGTTTATAAGAATAATAATCTTGAAGTTGCACATAATAACAACAGTATTACAAATAATGGTTCAAACAGTAATATTTTTATGGATTGGCAGATGTTTAATAGACTAGAGGTCATTTCTTTCTTCTTTCTTTCAACACACCGGCCGTATCCCACCGAGGCAGGGTGGCCCAAAAGGAAAAACGAAAGTTTCTCCTTTTACGTTTAGTAATATATACAGGAGAAGAGGTTACTAGCCCCTTGCTCCCAGCATTTTAGTCGCCTCTTACAACACGCATGGCTTACGGAGGAAGAATTCTGTTCCACTTCCCCATGGAGAGAACAGGAAATAAACAAGAACAAGAAAGAAAATAGAAGAAAACCCAGATGAGTGTGTATATATGTTTGTACATGTATGTGTAGTGTGACCCAAGTGTAAGTAGAAGTAGCAAGACATACCTGAAATCTTGCATGTTTTCTTTCTTTCAACACACCGGCCATATCCCACCGAGGTGGGGTGGCCCAAAAGGAAAAACGAAAGTTTCTCCTTTTACATTTAGTAATATATACAGGAGAAGGGGTCACTAGCCCCCCGCTCCTGGCATTTTAGTCGCCTCTTACGACACGCTTGGCTTACGGAAGAAGAACTCTGTTCCACATCCCCATGGAGATAAGAGGAAATAAACAAGAACAAGAACTAGAAAGAAAATAGAAGAAAACCCAGAGGGGTACGTAAGTATATATATGCTTGTACATGTATGTGTAGTGTGACCTAAGTGTAAGTAGAAGTAGCAAAACGTACCTGAAATCTTGCATGTTTATGAGACAGAAAAAAGGACACCAGCAATCCTACCATCATGTAAAACAATTACAGGCTTCCGTTTACACTCACTTGGCAGGACGGTAGTACCTCCCTGGGTGGTTGCTGTCTACCAACCTGCTACCTAGAACTAGAGGTCATACAATATAATATTTGGGAGAGTTGCTTCAAACTGATTAGAAGTTGTTTTGGTTGGTTTGGTCAGTATTGAGAGATGAGATGATTTTTAAGCAAAGCTCTAAAAAGGAAAAGGGAAGCATGCAACTTCATTTGTAAAGAGTTTTCATGATTTACAGACGTAATGGGGATGATTGTTGATGTGTGTTGCATTTAGTAATAAGACTGATGGGCAGTATTGCACTATAGTCTATTTTCCCTTAACTATGGCTTGCCTTTGTCTCAAACATTAATGGGTAGTGTTGTACATCTTACTATTTCTTATAGTATCATGTTTATCCTGTTAGCAATATAGTTTATTGTAATATATATTATATATATATCTTTCTTTTCTTTCAACACACCGGCCATATCCCACCAAGGCGGGGTGGCCCAAAAGGAAAAACAAAAGCTTCTCCTTTTAAATTTAGTAATATATATATTTTTTTTTTTTTCTTTTTTTTTTTTCAACAAGTCGGCCGTCTCCCACCGAGGCAGGGTGACCCAAAAAAGAAAGAAAATCCCCAAAAAGAAATACTTTCATCATCATTCAACACTTTCACCACACTCGCACATTATCACTGTTTTTGCAGAGGTGCTCAGAATACAACAGTTTAGAAGCATACACATATAAAGATACACAACATATCCCTCCAAACTGCCAATATCCCAAACCCCTCCTTTAAAGTGCAGGCATTGTACTTCCCATTTCCAGAATTCAAGTCCAACTATATGAAAATATATATATATATATATATATATATATATATATATATATATATATATATATATATATATATATATATATATTATATATATATATATAATATATATATATATATATATATATATATATATATTATATATATATATATATATATATATATAATATATATATATATATATACAGTGGACCCCCGCATAACGATGGGCATCGCATAGCGATTTTTCCGCATAAACGATTACTTTTATCGCAAAATTTTTGCCCCGCATACCGATTAAAAACCCGCATACCGATTTTCGTCCGAGACGCGTCCAATGTGCCCTCACATGTGTGCCGGCCGTCCCATTGTTTACCAGCCAGCCTCCGCGGTAACATCCAAGCATACACTCGGAATATTTCGTATTATTACAGTGTTTTCGGTGCTGTTTCTGGAAAATAAGTGACCATGGGCCCCAAGAAAGCTTCTAGTGCCAACCCTGTGGTAAAAAGGGTGAGAATTAGTATGGAAATTAAGAAAGATTTTGAAGGGTTTGGGGCTAACCCTGAGAAGCCTATGCCAGTTGTGGAATCCATTGTGCCTACTTCAAAGATTAAGGAAATGTGTGCACAGTGGGTTGAACTGCAAACCTTTATAGATGAAAATCACCCTGACACAGCTGTTGCAAGCCGTGCTGGTGACTATTTCAATGACAATGTTATGGCCCATTTTAGGAAAGTCTTGAAGGAGCGGGAGGTACAGAGCTCTATGGACAGATTTGTTGTGCGACAGAGGTCCAGTGACTCTCAAGCTGGTCCTAGTGGCATTAAAAGAAGAAGGGAAGTAACCCCAGAAAAGGACTTGCTACCTCAAGTCCTAATGGAAGGGGATTCCCCTTCTAAACAGTAAGAAGATAATGCTCTCCCCTCCTCCCATCCCATCAATCATCACCAGATCTTCAATAAAAGTAAGTGTCATGTAATTGTGCATGCCTTTTTCAGTTTGTGTGTATTAAAATTAACATTTCATGTGGTAAAAAAAATTTTTTTTCATACTTTTGGGCGTCTTGCACGGATTAATTTTATTTCCATTATTTCTTATGGGGAAAATTAATTCGCATAACGATTATTTCGCATAACGATGAGCCCTCTTGCACGGATTAAAATCGTTAACCGGGGGTCCACTGTATATATATATACATATATATTTTTTTTTTTTTTTAACAAGTCGGCCGTCTCCCACCGAGGCAGGGTGACCCAAAAAAGAAAGAAAATCCCCAAAAAGAAAATACTTTCATCATCATTCAACACTTTCACCACACTCACACATTATCACTGCTTTTGCAGAGGTGCTCAGAATACAACAGTTTAGAAGCATATACGTTTAAAGATACACAACATATCCCTCCAAACTGCCAATATCCCAAACCCCTCCTTTAAAGTGCAGGCATTGTACTTCCCATTTCCAGAATTCAAGTCCAACTATATGAAAATAACCGGTTTCCCTGAATCCCTTCACTAAATATTACCCTGCTCACACTCCAACAGATCGTTAGGTCCCAAGTATCATTCGTCTCCATTCACTCCTATCTAACACGCTCATGCACGCTTGCTGGAAGTCCAAGCCCCTCGCCCACAAAACCTCCTTTACCCCCTCTTTCCAACCCTTTCGAGGACGACCCCTACCCCTCTTTCCTTCCCCTATAGATTTATATGCTTTCCATGTCATTCTACTTTGATCCATTCTCTCTAAATGACCAAACCACCTCAACAACCCCTCTTCTGCCCTCTGACTAATGCTTTTATTAACTCCACACCTTCTCCTAATTTCCACACTCCGAATTTTCTGCATAATATTTACACCACACATTGCCCTTAGACAGGACATCTCCACTGCCTCCAACCGTCTCCTCGTTGCTGCATTTACCACCCAAGCTTCACATCCATATAAGAGTGTTGGTACTACTATACTTTCATACATTCCCTTCTTTGCCTCCATAGATAACGTTTTTTGACTCCACATATACCTCAATGCACCACTCACCTTTTTTCCCTCATCAATTCTATGATTAACCTCATCCTTCATAAATCCATCTGCCGACACGTCAACTCCCAAGTATCTGAAAACATTCACTTCTTCCATACTCCTCCTCCCCAATTTGATATCTAATTTTTCTTTATCTAAATCATTTGATACCCTCATCACCTTACTCTTTTCTATGTTCACTTTCAACTTTCTACCTTTACACACATTTTCAAACTCATCCACTAACCTTTGCAATTTTTCCTTAGAATCTCCCATAAGCACAGTATCATCAGCAAAAAGTAACTGTGTCAATTCCCATTTTGAATTTGATTCCCCATAATTTAATCCCACCCCTCTCCCGAACACCCTAGCATTTACTTCTTTTACAACCCCATCTATAAATATATTAAACAACCATGGTGACATTACACATCCCTGTCTAAGACCTACTTTTACGGGGAAGTATTCTCCCACTCTTCTACACACCCTAACCTGAGCCTCTCTATCCTCATAAAAGCTCTTTACAGCATTTAGTAACTTACCACCTATTCCATATACTTGCAACATCTGCCACATTGCTCCTCTATCCACTCTTATCATATGCCTTTTCTAAATCCATAAATGCAATAAAAACTTCCAACCTTTATCTAAATACTGTTCACATATATGCTTCAATGTAAACACTTGATCTACACATCCCCTACCCACTCTGAAGCCTCCTTGCTCATCCGCAATCCTACATTCTGTCTTACCTCTAATTCTTTCAATTATAACCCTACCGTATACTTTTCCTGGTATACTTAGTAAACTTATTCCTCTATAATTTTTACAATCTCTTTTGTCCCCCTTCCCTTTATATAAAGGGACTATACATGCTCTCCGCCAATCCCTAGGTACCTTCCCCTCTTTCATGCATTTATTAACAAAAGTACAAACCACTCCAACACTATATCCCCCCCTGCTTTTAACATTTCTGTCATGATCCCATCAGTTTCAGCTGCTTTACCCCCTTTCAGTCTACGTAATGCCTCACGTACCTCCACCACACTTACATTCTGCTCTTCTTCACTCCTAAAAGATGGTATACCTCCCTGGCCAGTGCATGAAATTACCACCTCCCTTTCTTCCTCAACATTTAAAAGTTCCTCAAAATATTCTCGCCATCTACCTAATACCTCCCTCTCCCCATCTACTAACTCCCCTACTCTGTTTTTAACTGACAAATCTATACTTTCCCTAGGCTTTCTTAACTTGTTTAACTCACTCCAAAATTTTTTCTTATTTTCATTAAAATTTCTAGACAGTGCCTCTCCCACTCTTTCATCTGCTCTCCTTTTGCACTCTCTCACCACTCTCTTTCACCTTTCTTTTACTCTCCATATACTCTGCTCTTCTTATAACACTCCTGCTTTGTAAAAACCTCTTGTAAGCTACCTTTTTCTCTTTTATCACACCCTTTACTTCATCATTCCACCAATCACGCCTCTTTCCTCCTGCCCCCACCCTCCTATAACCACAAACTTCTGCCCCACATTCTAATACTGCATTTTTAAAACTATTCCAACCCTCTTCAACCCCCCCACTACTCATCTTTGCACTAGCCCACCTTTCTGCCAATAGTCGCTTATATCTCGCCCAAACTTCCTCCTCCCTTAGTTTATACACTTTCACCTCCCTCTTACTTGTTGTTGCCACCTTCCTCTTTTCCCATCTACCTCTTACTTTAACTGTAGCTACAACTAAATAATGATCCGATATATCAGTTGCCCCTCTATAAACATGTACATCCTGGAGCCTACCCATCAACCTTTTATCCACCAATACATAATCTAACAAACTACTTTCATTACGTGCTACATCATACCTTGTATAATTATTTATCCTCTTTTTCATAAAATATGTATTACTTATTACCAAATTTCTTTCTACACAGCTCAATTAAAGGGTCCCCATTTACATTTACCCCTGGCACCCCAAATGTACCTTCTACTCCCTCCATAACATTTTTACCCACTGTAGCATTGAAATCCCCAACCACCATTACTCTCACACTTAATTCAAAACTCCCCACGCATTCACTCAACATTTCTCAGAATCAATCTCTCTCCTCTACACTTCTCTCTTCTCCAGGTGCATACATGCTTACTATAACCTACTTTTCACATCCAATCTTTATTTTACTCCATAATCCTTGAATTTATACATTTGTAGTCCCTCTTTTCCTGCCATAGCTTATCCTTCAACATTATTGCTACTCCTTCTTTAGCTCTAACTCTATTTGAAACCCCTGACCTAATCCCATTTATTCCTCTCCATTGAAACTCTCCCACCCCCTTCAGCTTTGTTTCACTTAAAGCCAGGACATCCAGTTTCTTCTCATTCATAACATCCACAGTCATCTCTTTCTTATCATTTGCACAACATCCACGCACATTCAGACTTCCCACTTTGACAATTTTCTTCTTCTTATTCTTTTTAGTAATCTTTACAGGAAAAGGGGTTACTAGCCCATTGTTCCCGGCATTTTAGTTGACTTTTACAACACGCATGGCTTACGGAGGAAAGATTCTTATTCCACTTCCCCATGGATATAAAAGGAAAAGTAATAAGACCAAGAACTATTAAGATAAAATCAAAGAAAACTCAGATGAGTGTGTATAAATAAACGTGTACATGTATGTGTAGTGTGACCTAAGTGTAAGTAGAAGTAGCAAGACATGCCTGTAATCTTGCATATTTATGAGACAGACAAAAGACACCAGCAATCCTACCATCATGTAAAACAATTACAGGCTTTCGTTTTACACTCACTTGGCAGGACGGTAGTACCTCCGTGGGTGGTTGCTGTCTACCAACCTACTACTATATATATATATATATATATATATATATATATATATATATATATATATATATATATATATATATATATATATATATATATATATATATATATATATATATATATTTATTTATTTATTTATTTATTTTTTTTTTTCAACAAGTCGGCCGTCTCCCACCGAGGCAGGGTGACCCAAAAAGAAAGAAAAATACTTCCATCATCATTCAAAAGTTTCACCATCACTCATACATAATCACTGTCTTTGCAGAGGCACTCAGATATGACAGTTTAGAAGTCCCTCTAAACTTCCAATATCCCGAACCCCTCCTCTAAAGTGCAGGCACTGTACTTCCCATTTCCAGGACTCAAGTCCGGCTAACTGGTTTCCCCGAATCCCTTCACACAGTATTACCCTGCTCACACTCCTACAGCTCATCAGGCCCGAAAACCATTCATCTCCATTCACTCCTATTTAACATGCTCACGAATGCTTGTTGGAAATCCAAGCCCCTCCTAACAAATTTTTCCTTTTTAAATTTAGCAATTTATACAGGAGAACAGGTTACTAGCCCCTTGCTTCCAGCATTTTGGTTGCCTCTTATGACATGCATGGCTTATGGAGGAAGAATACTTCTCTACTTTCCCATGGAGAATGCATGTTATTATTTTGGCAAAAATTCTTATCTGGCTCCAGCATGGTTACCATTACTGTCTGTCCACTTCTCTGTATTAGTGCATTGAGCCAAGGTTTACCATATTTAGTTATGTTAACTGTCAGCTGCTAGTGGTAATGCTGTGTTGGGGTCTGTGCCAATTTTTTTAAATTCTGTTTAAAACATTTTTTTCCCCAGTTTCCTCATTTTTTTTTTTTTTTTGTGCTTAGGAAGAACAGACCCCCCTTGTGTGGGCCTATGATCGAGGACATGATGATATAGCCAACTTCCTAAAGCACTTTCGTCGTCCAGGGCTGTGAAGATTATCCGGGGAGGAATTTATTTTTCGGGTTGGACACATTTTATTTTCCCACCCCTTCACAATTTGGCAACTGGGAAAATTGATTAAAGGTAGTCAATTTTTTTTTGTTTTTAGATTTAGTGTTAAGGGGGTGTTGTGATTTCTGTTTGTATACAGGAGCAGGCTATGAACTTAATGTTCAGTCTTCATTAATAATTTGTTAATATTTTCAAGGGTTTTAGCACTTATTGCTTCCTCCTTTCAGTTTGTGCCATTTTTCTACCACTATTAGTTAAGAATGTTTTCCCAGCATCAGAAAATTATTAAAATATTCAAGTCTTCAAGATTTTCTGCAATTGCCAACACACTGCATAGTTAAATCTGGATTAATTCAGTACTTACATGAAAATTCAGGTAAGATTTCTTTCCTGGTGACCTTGAGTCAAAATCTTCCCTGATGTGTCTAGGTAGCAGGTTGAAACTAGATAGGGCAGTGTAAACAGTCAGACTAAAACAATAAAAGCCACACTATCATGGGTGGAATAATTCACTGTTAACCTACAATTTGATGAATGTATCCTCAGCTCTGACATTCTTGGCTGGCTTTATTTTCATTTATGTGAGACACGAGGCAGCTTTATCATCAGCTTCTTGTTTTCTGACAGCAACAACTCTGGTCAAGCTTCTGTCTTCACATTCAGTCTTTGATTATTGACTAAGAGATTCTTTGATTGTAGTTTTTCATATATTCATAGAAAAAGTGTCTTGCTAAAGTACTTAATAGAATGAAACTAGTAATTGTGTCAAAAATCAAGATTTATTTTCCCTGTGATACAATGTTTCATGAGATGGGTAACTTTGGTTGTGCTGGGACAATGCCCATAAATTTTGGAGGAGTATTTTAGGAAAATTTAACCTTTAAGACTACGTGGGAAATAATTATTTTTTGCTTATATATGTTAAGGACATTGAAGGTGTAATTAAAGGGAGCTTCACTGTGTACTGATGAAAATCTAAGACCCGCTACTGCTGCTACTTAACAGGCAGTATTAAAGTTTCATTTTTTTTGTATTTTCCCCAACATAAAATTTTGTGTGGAGATATATACCGTTTTGAACAGTAATGTCAGCCACCTCTGGCAAAACAGGATGGAGTTGTATAAGGAAAGTGTTTCTTTTTTTTGGGTCACCCTGCCTCAGTGGGAAATGGCCAATGTGTTAATAATAATAAATTTTTTTTTTTTTCTTCAACAAGTTGGCCGTCTCCCACCGAGGCAGGGTGACCCAAAAAAGAAAGAAAATCCCCAAAAAGAAAATGCTTTCATCATCATTCAACACTTTCACCACACTCACACATAATCACTGTTTTTGCAGAGGTGCTCAGAATACAACAGTTTAGAAGCATATACGTATAAAGATACACAGCATATCCCTCCAAACTGCCTATAATAATAATAATAATAATAATAAAAGAAAATAATTATAATTCTTCTACATGTAAATGAGATGTGTGTGTGTGCATATTAAGATACTTTTATGAGTATGGTATATGTTTCGCTAACCAAGAGCTTTTGTTTTATTGATCCAATAAAGCCCCTGGTGGGAAAAATGCATCCTCATAAAAGTATGTCATCTACATATTAATGGTATTACAGTATGTACTATTTTTGAAACCAACTCCCTTGTACCTTACAGAGAAGATCGATGTTCTATATTTGCGCTCGGTGCTGCCACCTCACCTGCACCTCAGTTTATCAGAGATTGAGAGTTTAGAAAACATTGGATCGGGATCATTCGGGAAAATATACAAAGTGAGTAGGTATTACATAAAGGCAATTAATGTTTTTTTTGTTTTGGATGTTATTTATCTAGTGCATAGAGAAGTGAATGTTGAATAAATTAAGCATGACATATTCTAGAAGGACTCCTGGATCTTCCTACACATAAATACACAAATAATTGTAGAATGGAAATGTCTGCAGTGTTTACTGTTCTAAGACTGGCAGCAACAATATTATCTGTAAAAAGATGTGGCTTGTGAAAATAATGGGTTATGTATAAAGATACTGATTGTGAAAATATTGGGTGCAGCATAGCTATATATAGTATCATTTCTTTGTCTATAAATGCAGTTGAATAGAGTAATTTGGTCAATTTTTATGTAACTTGTTTAAATCTCAAACTTTCAGGGAAAGTACAATGATAAGATTGTGGCAGTAAAAAGATACCGGGGCAACATGTCTTATGGGAAGAGTGACGTTGAGATGTTTTGCCGCGAAGTATCTGTTCTGGGCTCTTTGGATTCACCATACATTGTCAGATTTGTGGGAGCATGTCTACATGATCCAAGTGTAAGTTACTTTTTTTGTGCATACACTACAACCACATAAACTCATGTATGCACTTTAAAAATGCACTCCATGTTTTACTCAAAAATAAAACCCTTCCCCACCCTCACACACTAATGCATGCATGTATGTATGGACATGTATGAACACATGACCATAACACAAGGCACAGATCACTCTTTGATGTTCCTCGTGTCCATCTCACACTATGTAAAAACTCAATGCACATAAAAGGCCCTAAAATCTGGAATTCATTACCTGTAAATATAAAAGAAACACTACCTGTTTATAAATTCAAGTCTCTTCTCAAAGATCACTTACTCACCCAAAACCAAATAAATACTGAATAACTGAACCTTATAAATTGTATATCTTAAATGTTTCTCACAATTATATCACATAAATGTTAAACCTAAAACCCAATCTAACTTTATTATTTTTTAAATACACTACCTAACAGAATACTCCATTCTATTGAATGTACAACAATGCATACAACCATATGACCTGTCTTTGTAATACTCACTTGTGCTTTATAGTAACCTGTTTACATTAATGTTTTATCACTGATTTCATCATTGCTTAGTTAATCTTAAGTTAATTTTAAGCCAGCCCGTAATGCTATGCATAGTATAAGTGGCTTTGGCATACTGCTCTTACCTGTATTTGTTGTACCTCTGTATGTGTGCTCAAATTTTTAAATAAATAAATAAATAAATAAATAAATGTATGTGTGTGTTAAGAGGTGGGGCCAGGATCTAAGAATTAACCCCTGCAACCACAAATAGGTGAGTACAGGGATATTAGGAAGTATATCTCCAGTCTCAAAGTGGTCAGGAAGTGAAATGATCTTGGTGAGAAAGTGGGGGAGGCAGGCTCCATACATAGTTTTAAGAGCAGGCATGATAGGGTCCAAGAGGCTATGTGGGAGTGATTCTGGAGAGAAGCAAGTTAAGAGTCAGTTTCAGGATCTGAGAATCAACCCCTGCAACCATTTTAGGTGAGTACACCTACCATCCGACTTACGACCTGCTCGACTTATGACCACTCGACTTACGACCGTGTTTTTTATGCCAAATTTCTGGGAAATAAACAACTATTTGTGTTGTACACAGTGTTTATCCTAAACCTTACAGTATAAAATACACTACTAACAGCATATAAAGTAAAGTAAAACATGAAATACCAATATAAAACAATAAAATAAAGTCATTACAAAAATGTTTTGTTGATATTCAGTAGTAAAGTTCGACTTACGACCATTTCGACTTACAACCGGTTTCTCGGAACCGAACTCGGTTGTAAGTCAGATGGTAGGTGTACATTAGTTCCTAAGATCAGGTACTGTAGTATCTCATGGCCTGGTAGGCAAAACACTTGCCTCACACACACTGTCTGTGGTTCAGTGCTTGCCGGGTGTGTTTCCTTACAACTGCTGTCCCTGTTCATCTAGCAAGCATGTACCTGGGTGTTAGTTGACTGGTATGGGTTGCATCCTGGGGGACAAGATTGAAGGACCCCCAATGAAAATAAGACATGGTCCTCGATGATGCACTGGCTTTCTTGGGTTATCCTGGGTGGCTAACCCTCTGGGGTTAAAAATCAAACAAAATCTGTATTATCTTACTTGTTATAAAGACAAACACTAAAGTAAACTTTAAGGATTAAATCGTTCAACCATTAAAGGGAACATAATCATAGTACAGACTGTTTAAAAGTATGAACATGTAGTTATACTATTATTAGGAGATAAAAATGTAATCTAAACCAAATTGAGGTAAATATTTATAGCAGATATAGGCAAGCCATGGCTTGTGAACCACAGGTGGCTCTTTTGCTCAGTCACTGTGGCTCGAGAGACATTATCCAGGTTTACTTCTTGTTTTGGATAGTGTCTCATTGAACTGCATTGAATGAGTGAATGAACTGAAAGGAGCATACTAGCAATGGCTTGTCCACACCTGATCCATAAGAGGAAATTCTTTCCTTCTGTACATTACGTTCAAATACAGGTAGGACAAAATTTATAGGGTTGAGATGTCTCATATTAGTCATAAATGATTAACAGATGTCTAGGAGCAGAACTCAGTCCCTTTAAACACAGGCAAATGAACACTGTTTCATTTATTTATTTTTTCTCCTTCCCTTTTCAGCAAAATTTTGAAATATTAATCTCTCCAAAATTCTCAAACTTGTAGTTGGCACTAATTCATCATTGGATATTTAAAAAAAAAATGCCATGCAATAAATGTTAGGTCTGTAAAACTGTAGGAATAACATTTTTCTTTTTTCCAGCAATTTGCAATTGTAACTGAATTTGTTCCTGGGGGATCCTTGTTCAGCACATTACATGAGCAGAAGAGATCTATTGATACCATAACAAGATTTAATATAGCTATAGATGTGGCAAAAGGCATGCATTATCTTCATACTCTCCCTCAACCAATCATACATCGAGATTTAAATTCGCATAATATTCTTCTCAACAATGAGGTTGGTTGTACAGTACTTTATATTTTATATTGCTCTTACTCTTTGTGTGTTTGAAGTCATCATTGTAAGACTTGTTAAACTGATACATGAGTGGGTATTAGTTTTAGCCAGAACTAAATGCATTGAAACATTAATGAAAGTGTCATTTCTATATATGAATCTTCAACATAAATTTGTTGTAAAAGTAGACTGTTGCAAGTATGAAGGAAGTATGAGGTGTGCATGATGAGGAAAGGGAGTGCCCAAGGTGTTGAATTTAATTAAGGAACTGAGAGAAGGAAGGGGGCAAAACTTGTCCAGCAAGACTCTCATATACAGTGAAGCTGATTCTTAAGATGCCTGGAAGCAATGACAGCATTCTTTCTTGATCATGCCTGCCTCTTACTTCAACAGCTCTTACTTTATATTAACCCTTTCAAGGTTTCGGATGTACTAGTACGGCTTGTGCACCAGGGTTTTTGACGTACTAGTATGCCTAAATTCTAGCGCCCTCAAATCTAGTGAGAGAAAGCTGGTAGGCCTACATATGAAATAATGGGTCTATGTGGTCAGTGTATGTAGTATAAAAAAAATCCTGCAGCACACACTGCGTAATGAGAAAAAAAAAACTTCGACCGTGTTTTTGGATTAAAACAGCGACTTTGCACTGTATTTTTGTATGGTATTTATTGTTGTATTCTAGTTTTCCTGGTCTCCTTTTATAGAATGGAAGACATATTACAGAAATTGAGATGATTTTGACTGGTTTTACAATGAAAAGTACCTTGAAATTGAGCTCAAAGTAGCAGAAATGTTCGATTTTTACCAAAGTTCAAAAGTAAACAAATCATGCTAAGCGTCCAATACACGTCAACTGGTGAGTCTAATATTCTTTCACAAGTGCGCCGATATTATTTATACCATTTCTACACTAATGCAGTAGTCTGCATAACAGTACATCTTCTATTTTTTGTGAGAATAAAAATTCAAAGTGGAAAGCAAAAGAATGTAAGAGGGGCGTTGGGACGTGACTAATGAACAGAGGAAATGTTATTTTAGTGCCAGGAATGTCTTTCTTGTTTATTCTGGACCCTATTTGGAAATTGGCATCTTTTGAAATTTGTGTGAAATTGGCAAAATTGCTAAATTCTGATCACTGTATTGGATAGTTGAAATCGGTAAATGGGTGGTTTCTTGTACTCATTCGATAGAAAAAATGAAGTTCTAGTGAAATAGTTATGATTTTTGCCGACTAGTACACTGGAATTGGCTGAAAATAGGGCTCAAAGTGGGCAAAATCGCCGATGTGTAAACATCGTCGAGACCGCTAACTTCACGAGAGCATAATTCCATAAGTTTTCCATCAGATTTCATACTTTTGGTGTCATTATGATTGGGAAAAGATTCTCTATCTTTTCATAAGATTTTTTTTTTTTTTTTTTTTTTTTTGAAATTTGGCCAACCCTGAGAACAAGTCTGGGAGAGGGCCTGGGGACCCTGAAAGGGTTAAGCATGAAGGAAGTATTTTAAAGTGAATTTTAAAGTTGAAGGCGAGGGGGAGGTAAGAGTGAGTTTGTAAAGTGGTGGTTTTCTCCTATTTCTGTTGCTTGGCAGCATCATTGTCATCCCACTTGCTCAGTTTGTCCAGGTCTTCTTGGGGGTATACTCATTCACTTTCATTTCTTAATTTGCATAGAGTCTTTGCATCATCAGTGAACATGTTGATGAATAAGACTTGTGTAACACTTGGGTATTTTTATTGCTGAAACATGGTGCCTATATAACAAGCTTCTTTGGTTGAATGCAGGAGAATATAGCACTGGAGTCAATAGAAGTGGAGAGGTAATATTAAGGTGATCAGTCCCTCAGCCTTGATTGAAGGCAGATAGTTCCTTAGGGAGGGAGGGAGAGGGAGAGGAATAGGGAAAGGAAGGAGGGAGAAGACAGAAACATTTCCTTGCTTTTGATGATGATAATTGTAATAGTACGTAAAATCTGTTAGTATTCGTTTTTTAATAAATTATGCTTCAATTCTCGGCAGTGCCGTGCTAGAGTTGCTGACTTTGGAGAGTCACGATTTGTGCGTAACATCTTTGAGGAAAATATGACAAAACAGCCTGGTAATCTTCGCTGGATGGCTCCTGAAGTGTTTACACAGGTAACTTAATTACTCTATAAATAATAATAATAATAGTAGATTATCGACTGTATGAAAATTTCTTATTTGGTGTTTACCATTATTCAGTAGTCATTTGTACAGAAGACCTGAATGGAGCAAATAATGTGGAAAAGAAATGTGGTAACAATAGGGACCTTAAGGGGCATGTAAGCTCCCCTGTCTTCTAATAACATGTTCATTTTTCCACTATAATCTACCTTGTCCATAATTACTATCGTATGTGCTTTGTCTGTTTTGTAAGGTGAAGTCTAGGCTCTTTCTTTAATTCATGGTATAACTTGACAAATCTTCGAGGACAAATGTATGTATTATTGTTTTATTTTACTTTATTTTATTTTATTTATTTTTTAAATTTTACTGTATCACAGTGCCCACAAAATAAATCGTCTCATTGAAAAGGCAAAAAATAAATCAACAAATTTCAATGTTTTGTTCTTTCCTCTTGCATTAGACAGCCTGTTGGCAATGTCACTGAGGGTGATCCATTTACTAGCAGCAACTTCAATCTATCTCTCACCCTCAGTTACTGCAGAGTTGCTGTGGGAGGCTGCATTTTCCTGTGCTCTTGCTTGACTACTGGATTGTTTGGCAGCCTATATTTTGCTTACCAGTGATCTTAATGGGGCCCTGTAAGCTTAGTATAGAAGAGAAGGATTATATTTAGGACCTGGTAAGGACACAGTAATGGTGAAATAGCCAGATGAGTGGGACAGTAATTAAACAAGTGATTTAAACTAAAGGTGGAATGAGCCAACATTAGATTGGAAGAATAAAGTAAGCTTTTTAGCTCTTTGTTTAATTTCTCCTTTTATTAATATTTTTTTATGTAAGATAGTGTAAAATGATAACGTGTCAATGATGTCTTTTGTGGGAACTGTGCTACTTTTGATGGTGGAGAATAAATTAGTAAATGCATGTATGCACAGTACTTTTGTTCCACTGTTTTATTCAATTAGTATTGTGCTAATGCATAGATTTCTCTACAGTGTACAAGATACTCCATCAAAGCTGATGTATTCTCCTTTGGGCTGTGTTTGTGGGAACTATTGGCCTCTGAGTTACCTTTTGCTCACTTGAAACCTGCTGCTGCTGCTGCTGACATGGCTTACAAGTGAGTTATAGAAATCTTATTTTGTGAGTGCAGTGCAGCAAGGCCCCACCATTCATTTTGTGTATATTCATAAAATTAAAGTTTTTCTAGAGGGAAAAATCTGTGATATCTCGTATTCTCAGGGGTCTGTCAGTTATCACTGGTCAGAGGCAATGGCATCACACACTGCACTACCCATGAGAAAGGATTAAGATGAGCATCCTAGTACTTTAGAATTATTCTATTAGCATTATAAACAAAACATTACTGATGTATAATTTACTCATTGTTTTTGTATGATACCTTATGAAAAACACTATTATACCAGTTTTCTCAGACATTAAATATTCACTGTTTTTCTCTACCTTCATTAATTAAAACATTACATGATTTTGTTTAAACATTAGTCACTATATTTGCACTTACCTTTAGTTATGATACATGGTAAACTTTCTCCTTAACATTTTATTTTGCATAGTGGATTTCCTATCTTACAACAGACTTTTGGCATTCAAATTATCTTTCACATTCTCTGGTTTATTAGGTTTGAAGCCTGTGAACTACACAAGGGTCATTATGCCTGGATGTTACCTGCACACCACCAATATGGATACTTGTGTCACTAAGTAGGGATTAAAATAAAACCCTCACTGTAATATACCCTTCAGATTATATTTCAAGTTAACTTTTCTGAAATTGTGCCAGTGCCACAATCCTTTCCTGTATTTCCATATAGGTCATCTAAATAGGAATCTGTAGGTTATCACTGACTTATCTTTTGCTCACAGGCACAGTCGACCTCCTCTTGAATTAGCCTTCCCAGTGGAAGTGTCAGTACTTCTTGAAAAAGCTTGGCACAAGGTTCCAGAGGAACGGCCAGATTTTTCTCAGGTATGTATGACAAGCCATGTAGGTGACCACTCTCTCTCTCTGCAATATTAGTTAAATCAGAAAGTGCTGCCCACAGTGACTATTGTGGAATTGCCACTGAAACTATTTTGCCATAAAATATTCCCTAATCTGTGCATCACACTGATTATGTAACTGAAGGTCTTGTTCAAGCACTGAAGGCTCTTGGTGAAGGACTCTTGATCCAAGAAATTGGAAGTACCTTCCTTTGGCCCAATCCTTATTATCTTGCATTATCTTATTATCTTACATTTCTTAACCATTTCCTTGCACCATGTGTCTCCAAGCTGGTTCCCAACAAGTATCATTTTTGTAAGTTTTGGCACCCCCCCACACAACTGCCTCTCAGCATGTATAAGGGGGATTACTGGTAGACCCCTGACTGTCTTCAAGAGGAAGCTGGAATGGCACCTCAAGTCAGTACCTGACCAGCTAGGCTGTGGTTCATATGTCGGTTTGCGTGTAGTCAACAGTAACAGCCTGGTTGATTAGACGCTGATCCACTGCAAGGCCTGGTCACAGACCAGGCTACGGGGGCATTGATTCCCGGTACACCCTCCAGATATACTCCCCTCTCAAGGGCAGTACCTTGATTCTAGTGAGGGGCTCATCACCTGAGGAAGTGGACTTATCCTCCTCTCTCTTTGATGTGACAAAGATATAAAGAACACCTTCAGATACTGAGTTCAAGTAAATTTGGTAAGAACAAAGAACTTGTGACAACTAAATCAAGTGACCTCGCCATCCAGTAAATAAACTAAACTTCTCATCTATAGAATCAGTTCTAGCCCACAAGAGCCCAAACTCTCATGCCCAAGTTAGGGCTTATCTTGCAGATAATTACCTGTTTAAGAAAGCTGTTTATGTGGTGTCTTGTATAGTAAAACTGTTCATGTGCTACCACCTATTATTGCAGCATTATTTAATAAATCTATATCAACCAAAACTTTCCCAAGCATACCTTAATGGCAGATACCAACATGTGACTGCAAATGACTTGAAATCATGGCAGATGAGTCCTAAAACTCACCTGCCATGAATATATTTTCCCTTTTTTGGGTTACCCAACGTGGGTGGGAGATGGCCAGTTTGTAAAAAAAAAAATTCTTTCACTGTAATTACTCTCAGGCAGTGCTTTTGGCTTTGCCGGCACACTAAGTCATTTAATATTGGGGGAGTGCTTTTTAGAGATCTCATGTCTGTTGTGATAAATTAACCTCGTCTTGAATTTAGCCTCATCCTGCATATGCTCATCCTTGGTTTTCATACAATGATTACTTTTTGCTTCCATGTAGAGAGTTCTTGAGTACTTCCATACAGGAATTGCTTGAGTGTTTCTATGCAAGAGGTGCTTAAGTGCTTCAATAGTGTCAACTGTGTACATTTACCTGATTCACCATTTATCCTTACACCCTCTGCTAGTGAGTACTTCTGTTATACATCTGCTTTATCTTTACCCTCTTGCCTCTCTTTGTGCAGATTATAGAAGAACTGGAAACTTTGTGCAAGTCTCAGAAGTTGGCTTTACAGGATGGCCGGGAGCATGTTCACCCACACCACCACCATCACCACCACCAACACCCTCACCACCACAACCTTCATGCCTGCTGTGCTGCATGCTCTCTTGGTTCACCCACAGGCAGCACCACTCCCCCTGATGCTTCTCAACACTCCAATTCAGAGCTTTCTGGTAGGACCCCAGCTTCTTCCTCCCTACTGCACTCATTGTATTGGAATGGTATGTAGTCAGTTGCACTCATCCTAGATCCTAACGCTGCTTACATTTAATCTGCTGTTTCCACTAGATATGTGGCTAGTTGATTTTCCCTATTGTTTTCAGTTGGACTTTGATACTGTACATGTTTAATGTAATGATGCTAAAACCCTATAGCATGTATTTTTGCAGGACCCAGGGAGCCTGTTTAGAATTATATCATGCCTGCATCTATCTTAGTCCTGGTAAAGTCTTGTTTGTTGTAATGCACAGGAAGCAGGCAGAGCATGTTAATCTGACCAAGTCCAGGTACTATCACCCAAATTTTGTCATGTCAGCACGTACCCTCTCCACTTATGCTGGTTTATAATGTGGCTGGCTCCATATTTGCTCATAAGTGGGCAGCTTTGGAAATATTGTCTTTGTCTGCATCCATCCTTAGTGTTCTGTGTATGTCTCAGTAATGATAATGCCCTACCTACCCATAGGACTTGTGGCATCGATGAGCCTTGTGTTGATTACTTACTGCCTGACTTTGATTCTCTCATAGTAGATAAACCCTGTATTCACCCCATGGGGTGGCACTTTCACTGTGCCTCCAGTGTCATCTAGGAATGCCATCTCTGGTATTATTTTCACTATTATTCTTATAATCAGTTTAAGTACTAAATTCTAAGGGTCATACAGTGCTAATCACCTTGGGTGGAGAAGACCCATTTTGCCTTCTCTATTTATAGGCATCATCAAGGCCTTTCAACAGGTCTCTTCTTTTTAAAATCATTCTGCAGCTATTCCTATGGGTCATTGCTTCCTCCTGGACCCTCTGTAAGGCATATCTTCTCTGGGCCCCTCTGCATGAGTTTTGGACCACATCCCTCTACTTAGCATCAGAATCTAGCCTGGTGATCATCCCATTCTCCTCTTTCTCTCTCTCACATCCAGGCATTGATGTCTGAGGGTCTCCATCTTATGTAGGAGCTGCTCGCTTGAGGGTTTTTCTCATCCCTACATATGTGCCCATGATACCAGGGGCATGGTGGGTTTTCAGGTTTTGGTGGCCCATGTTTCCATGTCTCTCATCCTTAAGAGCATGCAGTTCACCATCCGAGGTTCATTTGTTATCACTTGTGTTCTTGATGGAATCACCTTTTGCCTCCTTACCTCATCTGAGGTACAGTATCTGTCCACATGTCTGCAGGCCTTTCTTGGGTATTCTTTTCTTCAGTACTCTCCTATTGTTCCTGCAGACCCCACTGTCATCTTGCCCCTGGATTCCTTCAGATCGTTGTCAGAGTCTGGCCAGGGGCCTGGTGGCTGAGCGTTTTTCTCCTGGCATCCCTGCGACTGTTGACCAACAATGGGAAGTTCCTTGGAGCACCTTTTTCTCCACAGCACTAGTAAGTCTATGAACATAAATTTTGTGCCACTTGTTCCATTTTTTGGGACATGCTCACCGAGGTACTCAGCCAGGGTCTTCACCTTCCTAAGGGTGTTCTAGCTGGATGTGGCTGTGTCTTTAAACACTGATAGCTGTACTCCCTTCCCTATCTGTGACTCATCAGTCTTAGTGCTGCAGCAAGGTGCATCTTCCTGTATAACTATTAAGAGCACATTTCTGTGTGAAAAGACAGACTCTGTCTTTGGTGGATTATTTATATGTATATCTGGCTTGGTTTTTTCTTTTTCTTTTTTAGTATGCTATACGGGAAAAGGGGTTACTAGCCCATTGTTCTCAGCATTTTAGTTACTTTTACAATATGTGTGGCTTACAGAGGAAAGATTCTTATTCCACTTCCCCATGGATATAAAAGGAAGAGCAATAGGAACAATAACTTTTTTTTTTTCAACAAATCGGCCGTTTCCCACCGAGGCAGGGTGGCCCAAAAAGAAAAACAAAAGCTTCTCTCTTTAAATTTAGTAAACTGTGCAGGAGAAGGGATTACTAGCCCCTTGCCCCTGGCATTTTAGTTGCCTCTTACAACATGCATGGCTTACGGAGGAAGAATTCTGTACCACTTCCCCATGGAGATAAGAGGAAATAAACAAGAAGAAGAACTAGAAAGAAAATAGAAGAAAACCCAGAGGGGTGTGTATATGTATGCTTGTACATGTATGTGTAGTGTGACCTAAGTGTAAGTAGAAGTAGCAAGATGTACCTGAAATCTTGCATGTTTATGAGACAGAAAACAGACACCAGCAATCGTACTATCTTGTAAAACAGTTACAGGCAGGATGGTAGTACCTCCCTGGGTGGTTGCTGTCTACCAACCTACTATCTGGGCTCCTCTGCAAAGACAGACAGTGATTGTGTGAGTGAGGTGAAAGTGTTGAATGATAATGAAAATATTTTCTTTTTGGTGATTTTCTTTCTTTTTGAGTCACTTTGCCTTGGTGGGAGATGGCCGACTTGTTGAAAAAAATAAAAAATCTGGCTTGGTCCTTTGTGATTATTCTAGTATGCTTGCCTGGCATGATTTGTTTTAGTACCAGTGTGTGTATGCAGTGGCAGGGGTCTGGTCCTGCAGGATGTTATTTCTTTGGCTTCCTGCATTTTGATGGCAATTCTGTCCATAGGGCAAGCATAGAGATTATCTTTTGTATCATTTCTGGCATGTTCTTTTGGTGTCTAAAGAAACTGTTCCTCCTTCACACTTCTCAGGTTCCTGTATCAGTCATTTTTGCAAGGGCTCTTGCCTTGCTTAACAGCTTCATTGTAGGTGTGGGATACTGCAGTTCCAAGTGTGCTCCCCAGGGTTCCACATTAGGAAACTGCATTATGAATGCTGGAAATATACATTTGTGTTAAGGACCATGGAAGATCCTAGGTTACCATTTCCTTTCCCAGCTGTGATATTCTAATTGATGACCGGAACAGGTTAGACATTCACACTTCACATGGCATCTGTACACCACAGCAGAAGAGAAATGACTTTTGAATGGCATCAGGTGATCAGTTGGCTCATACTGTTTCTAAGAGAGGTAGGCTTTAAGTAGAAATAAATCCAAATGGGACCCTTATGGTCATTAACACAGACATGATCTTTGAATATTCACTATATACTAAGTAGTTTTGGTGATGAAATGTGTTTTCATTAAACTTTAGTGCAATTTTTTAATCTGTTAGTCTTGGTAGTTGTTTCATCTGTTAATTTGTGCTTTTTTGCTTTTCTTGATTTCTTGGTGGGAGATGGCCATTGAGGTAAAAATATTATTAGTAGAATGTAATTGCTTATTTACCATAAGTGTATGTTTTTTATTTTTCAAAATTTACTCGTAGAATGAAATATTTTTAGTTATTTTATTTTACTGAAGGCAAAGTTCACCTGTAGATGTCATTAGCAATCATGTCTAGAATTGTTAATAAAATTGTAGTTAAGGGTTATTCTAGTGAACACTTTATTGTGTGGAATTATATAAGCAGTCTATTCCCAGTTTGATATTAAAAGATAAGTTAGGCAGACCTAAAGAGAGAAACTTTCACAATCACTCATACTCTAGTAATTTTTCCAGAAGTGCACGGCCATCACACTTCAGATAACTCTCTGAATAACATCCATACCCTTCCTCCTAAGTATGGTCATCACCTGGCTAATTGGTTCCATGACTTATTTAAAAAATGCTATCTTGCTCACACTCCAGTGGCACATCATATCCTCAAAATCATTCTCTACTAACTCTGTCTAAGACAGTCATACATGCCTGTTGGATGCTCAAGCCCCTATCACTTAAAACCTTTAACCCTTCCTGGGACATTCCCTACACCGCCTTGCATACATACTAGATTTATGTGCCTTGACTTTTTTTCCTGCTTTCATCATCTTAATCCTTAATATGTTTACTTTCAACTTCCTTCTTTTACACACCCTCCTAAACTGGTTGCAAATGTTTATGTATTTTTTTTTCCCTCAGGCCATGTCACAGCACTGCGAACCCGATGGGAACAGGAAGCCAGTCGAGGCCAGACTGCATTCAAATCCTCACATCCAACAATTGAAGAGCTGAGAAGTCGTATGAATAATAATGGTTATGTAGAAGGAAATACATATCAGTATCGTATTGCCCCCATTTTCAGTAAACATCGAAAGTCCATGTTACAGAATTACTGACATTGATCATGAATGAGTATGGGTGATGGATAGTAACATCGTAGAGGGTTGTTTTTATTGGAAAGGACAGAGTTCAAGCATGCAGCATGGTAGTTTAAAAAATTACCGAGGATCAGTAAACTTAGTATAATATTTGTGTGCTGCTGGCACTATGAGTGTGCATTAATTTTTGATTTAGGAGTGAAACTGATTGTATATTATTATTATTACAATCAAAACTAAGTGCTAAACCCATAAGGGTCATACAGAACTGCAGCTGTTTGTATAGAAGCCTCATAGGTCTTCACTTGTTGTCAGTTTTATTAAACTCAGTTTAAATATTTCTAAATTTCATAGCCTTATACACTAACCCATCTTGTATTACTGGAAGGAATACAAAGGCACATAATGAGCCCAGGAAGTAGGTCCCACTGTTCTCTTGGTTGAGAAAGGCACAGTGATGATCTATTTACAGCAAACACTGTTGGGATACTTGGCAAGGACTAATGGTAAACTTATGGCATTATAAATTATTTGAATACTTATTTAATGTTTGTGAAAGATTTGCCTAAGAATTTTTGCAATTTTTACACTCGAGTCTGCAGGAGTTAAGCACTTATTATTATATTTCAGAACAACAACAATAATAAATTCACATTCTAGTATATATCAAGGCTATATCTTCTAATAGAAGTTGACGTCTAGGTAGATATACATCATCAGTTGGTGCAGATTCCTAGAGATGTTATAGTCTTTCCAAAACTGAGAGGTTATGACATCTGAACATGTGGCTATTCTTTCATGATAGTTCACTCTTCACTTATTTATCCCATTTAAAATGGTCAGGTGGAGGGAGAGGGGTGACAAAGCTCCAATTGGAGATTTGATTTTTTTTTTTTTTTTTTTTTGTTTTTAGAAATGTAATTATGTATGTAATTATGGTTTTTTTTGTACATCAATCATTTCCCAACATTGTTACTATTCATAACACTAGTCTTAGCAGCTGGCAAGTTAAGGTAGCAGCCTTTGTGGCTTGTTAAACCATATAAAGAAAGGCATTTTAAATTCTAAAAATATGTATATTAGTTCTGATGAACCACTCAGGAATCCCACCACCAGTACCTTCGATTCAGCAACTCTCTCTATGGTAGTGGCCAATTTATGCATAAATTTAACCCTTAAATGGTCCAAACGTATATATACGTTTTTTCAACATCTGAAAGTATGTAAAAAAAATGTAGATCTTTTTTTTTTATTTTACATGTGAAAATGTGTAAAAAAAACTTTTATCTACATTTTTTTTTGTTATATTTGAAAATATGTAAAAAAAAGTAGATCTACTTTTGTAGCACTACGAATTTGAACGTTTAAGGGTTAAGGGGGTGTTTTGGGGGGCAAAGAATCTAAGGGTTGATATATATTCTAGTACATATATACAAAAAACTTGTCTGTCCATTCCAGTTTTGCCCTTGAACACTGTTTATCTGTGGCTTCACCATAATCCTCTCTTTTTTTTTTTTATAATGAGTGCTAAACCTATAAGGGTCATAAAGCACCCCAAAATCCTCTACTGTACAAATTAAGATAAAAAATTAAAATTTTTATATGAAATTGAAGAGATATAATCTTTTTCTTTTTGCCTTGTTTCACAGTTTCTTGGAAGTCATATTTTTTTTTTTTTTTTTTTTTGGGGGGGGGGGGGGAGATATAAATAAAACATAGGTGAATCTGCTATCTTTTATTTTGTAATCCATTGTAAATAATGAGAAAATTGCAAAAATAGTTATTTTACAAAGTATTTAATACATACTGGATGTATAAAATGATAAAGCACGCACGTCACCTGAAAGATTTGGATCACATTGCCTCAAGTACATAATAGGTTTTATTGTCTCGACACATTATTATCTCAACACTTGTAATTAAAAAAAATCAATATTCATAAGTTTTGGTTTTCCCACAGAAGCACTACCTTGTAAGACAAGGCAGTTCTTTTCCTAAGAGTATCTGTTCTTTCCTTGGAATGATCAGTCAGCATCTCCATGCACTCATCTGCCACATTATCAAGCTTCATCTTATCTATTTTAAAAAAATATTTACCTATTTCTTTCTTAATAAATTTTAAATTCAACTTTATATTCTCTCTTAATTACTCCCTTGAGTAAAAACAACCTTTAACTAGATCATTTACATAAAACTGAGTGACAACTATTCCCTCTGTTGGTTAAAAAAATTATTCGGCAAACCATTTGAGTATCTGCTAATATAGTTCACAATGTAAACTCATTCACAGCTATATGATTAAGGAAGATTTTAAAAGTGCCACATCCTTCTGAATAATGTACAAAGAATGTGATCAATTTTTTGAAAAATGAATAAAAAGTTAGAATTCTAAGTATTAGTGTGGATATCAAGTTAAGAAATTACAAGCTGCTTGAGCTAAGAAGAAAAATTTAACTCTGCTCAAGTGAGCAACACAAGATACAGGTAATGCAGAAAGGCACATTTAGGGGTAATATAATAAGAAAGAATAAGAAATAGGAAATTCTAAGTGTATTAAAGTCATGAGTAAACACTTAATAAAATGTCTTATGAATACATTCACATCCTGGGTTCCAAGACTGACACACATACATAACGTCTTAAGTGTTCACTTATGTGTTTATAGCCATAGCTTGTTGGTATCATATACAGTGGACCCCCGCATAACGATTACCTCCGAATGCGACCAATTATGTAAGTGTATTTATGTAAGTGCGTTTGTACGTGTATGTTTGGGGGTCTGAAATGGACTAATCTACTTCACGATATTTCTTATGGGAACAAATTCGGTCAGTACTGGCACCTGAACATACTTCTGGAGTGAAAAAATATCGTTAACCGGGGGTCCACTGTACCAGGTTTACATCAACTTTATATATTTTTCAAAATTCAATTTAAAGTTTAGTGTATGACAAAGAATTTTGTTTACAGAAAAGGCACACACTCGGGAACCAGCAGGTCTTTTAATTTTTTCAAAGAAATATTTCTCTGTAGGAAACATGCTAATATTCTTTTTTTTTTTTTTTTCAACAAGTCGGCCGTCTCCCACCGAGGCAGGGTGACCCAAAAAGAAAGAAAATCCCCAAAAAGAAAATACTTTCATCATCATACAACACTTTCACCTCACTCACACATAATCACTGTTTTTGCAGAGGTGCTCAGAACACAACAGTTTAGAAGCATATACGTACGTATAAAGATACACAACATACCCCTCCAAACTGCTAATATCCTAAAACCCCTCCTTTAAAGTGCAGGCATTGTACTTCCCATTTCCAGGACTCAAGTCTGGCTATATAATAATAATAATAATAATAATAATATATAATAATAATATTCTTGTACTTCTTATCTAGTACTTCTTACCTAGGGACTGGCAGAGAGCATGTATAGTCCCTTTATATAAAGGGAAAGGGGACAAAAGAGACTGTAAAAATTATAGAGGAATAAGTTTATTGATTATACCAGGAAAAGCGTACGGTAGAGTTATAATTGAAAGAATTAGAGGTAAGACAGAATGTAGGATTGCGGATGAGCAAGGAGGTTTCAGAGTGGGTAGGGGATGTGTAGATCAAGTGTTTACATTGAAGCATATATGTGAACAGTATTTAGAAAAAGGTAGGGAAGTTTTTATTGCATTTATGGATTTAGAAAAGTTTGGAGGGATATGTTGTGTATCTTTATACGTTTTTTTTTTTTTTCAACAAGTCGGCCGTCTCCCACCGAGGCAGGGTGACCCAAAAAAGAAAGAAAATCCCCAAAAAGAAAATACTTTCATCATCATTCAACACTTTCACCACACACACATTATCACTGCTTTTGCAGAGGTGCTCAGAATACAACAGTTTAGAAGCATATACGTATAAAGATACACAACATACCCCTCCAAACTGCCAATATCTTTATATCTTTATACGTATATGCTTCTAAACTGTTGTATTCTGAGCACCTCTGCAAAAAACAGTGATAATGTGTGAGTGTGGTGAAAGTGTTGAATGATGATGAAAGTATTTTCTTTTTGGGGATTTTCTTTCTCTTTTTTGGGTCACCCTGCCTCGGTGGGAGACGGCCGACTTGTTGAAAAAAAAAAAAAATATGCTAGAGTGGATAGGGAAGCAATGTGGCAGATGTTGCAAGTATATGGAATAGGTGGTAAGTTACTAAATGCTGTAAAGAGTTTTTATGAGGATAGTGAGGCTCAGGTTAGGGTGTGTAGAAGAGAGGGAGACTACTTCCCGGTAAAAGTAGGTCTTAGACAGGGATGTGTAATGTCACCATGGTTGTTTAATATATTTATAGATGGGGTTGTAAAAGAAGTAAATGCTAGGGTGTTCGGGAGAGGGGTGGGATTAAATTATGGGGAATCAAATACAAAATGGGAATTGACACAGTTACTTTTTGCTGATGATACTGTGCTTATGGGAGATTCTAAAGAAAAATTGCAAAGGTAAGTGGATGAGTTTGGGAGTGTGTGTAAAGGTTGAAAGTGAACATAGAAAAGAGTAAGGTGATGAGGGTATCAAATGATTTAGATAAAGAAAAACTGGATATCAAATTGGGAAGGAGGAGTATGGAAGAAGTGAATGTTTTCAGATACTTGGGAGTTGACGTGTCGGCGGATGGATTTATGAAGGATGAGGTTAATCGTAGAATTGATGAAGGAAAAAAGGTGAGTGGTGCGTTGAGGTATATGTGGAGTCTAAAAACGTTATCTATGGAGGCAAAGAAGGGAATGTATGAAAGTATAGTAGTACCAACACTCTTATATGGGTGTGAAGCTTGGGTTGTGAATGCAGCAGCGAGGAGGCGGTTGGAGGCAGTGATGTCCTGTCTAAGGGCAATGTGTGGTGTAAATATTATGCAGAAAATTCGGAATGTGGAAATTAGGAGAAGGTGTGGAGTTAATAAAAGTATTAGTCAGAGGGCTGAAGAGGGGTTGTTGAGGTGGTTTGGTAATTTAGAGAGAATGGATCAAAGTAGAATGACATGGAGAGCATTTAAATCTGTAGGAGAAGGAAGGCGGGGTAGGGGTCATCCTCGAAAAGGTTTGAAGGAAGGGGTAAGGGATGTTTTGTGGGCGAGGGGCTTGGACTTCCAGCAGGCGTGTATGAGTGTGTTCGATAGGAGTGAATGGAGACGAATGGTATTTGGGACCTGACGATCTGTTGGAGTGTGAGCAGGGTAATATTTAGTGAAGGGATTCAGGGAAACCGGTTATTTTTATATAGCCGGACTTGAGTCCTGGAAATGGGAAGTACAATGCCTGCACTCTAAAGGAGGGTTTTGGGATATTAGCAGTTTGGAGGGATATGTTGTGTATCTTTATACGTATATGCTTCTAAACTGTTGTGTTCTGAGCACCTCTGCAAAAACAGTGATTATGTGTCAGTGTGGTGAAAGTGTTGAATGATGATGAAAGTATTTTCTTTTTGGGGATTTTCTTTCTTTTTGGGTCACCCTGCCTCGGTGGGAGACGGCCGACTTGTTGAAAAAAAAAAAAAAAATTCTTGTACTTGTATAAAAGTACTGCATATGCGCTTATTTCTCATTTTGAATATATTCCATGCATTTTCTTTTAGTGTGGTACAGAGTATTTGGAATGCCCCCTTTTTTCAGGGGGAGTTTTCAGTCTTTTATAATGCGTGTGCCATAGAGGAGATATCCCCCTCCACCTGACATGTTAATATCAGGATGAGTGCGTTGAGGCAACACTTGGTAGTGTCGCAACCATGTCTCACTAAGGTGTACATTTGTCCCATTTTGAGATTTCACTTCCATGAAGAGCTCCATTAGAGGCTGTGAAAGTAACAAAAAGGTAATGTTTGAGAAGACTTTTCAGCATTATATCTTGACTGATTATTAGCTTTTTATAAAAAACAAAAACACTAATGTACTTCTGAATCTTTTATCTTTAATCAACATCAATTAGCTAATTGATACCTACCAACCATTCTATTCCCCAGTTATGTTCTAACATATACAGTATTTACAGAATACTTTTCTCTCAATCACAACTAACTCACAATATAGAGAGAAAACTTTAGACATTTTGGTGTGTTCTGAACTATTATCAAGTTTCCTCTCCAAACTTTAGGTTATTTGTGAATTGTTATTCACAGAAGTGGAAAAAGACAGAATGCAATCATTTAGGACATTTTCATTGGAAACATTTTGGTCCTGGGACCATGATCACTCCAAAGTCAAACAACTGAAATGTTTCCAATATGCATGTCCTAAGTGACTGCATACTGTATCTTTTTTCTCTGTGTCAACATCATATACCTCTATATCCTGTTATTGTGACTTATTCCCAACTCTTTTCTCATAATTAGTTCCAAAAATAATGTATTTTCACCCTCATTTATTTCATCAGCCTATCCTTCATTAAATCTACTCATGTCATTAAATTCTTTGCTTATTTCACTGATGTATGCCAACACCTCATTATTAACTTTTCTCTGATAGCTGAATAACTTTAAATTTTAACTGCAACTTTCTTGACTGTGATGGCCATGATGACATTCTGTACATGATTTATTAACTATGTACAGTGGACCCCCGCTTAACGATCACCTCCTAATGTGACCAATTATGTAAGTGCATTTATATAAGTGCGTTTGTACGTGTATGTTTGGGGGTCTGAAATGGACTAATCTACTTCACAATATTCCTTATGGGAACAAATTCGGTCAGTACTGGCACCTGAACATACTTCTGGAATGAAAAAATATCGTTAATCGGGGGTCCACTGTACTGTACTTTGGTCTGTACCATTATTTACTATGCATCCTCCCTGCAACAACCTCATATACAGTATAGTACAGGTATTTAAAAAATCATGATTAATGTAAATATACTGTATATTTTAAAATATTAAAAATATAAGAGTTACATAATTTATTATTCATTCAACTAGTTATCTTTAACAAAACTAGTTTACATTTCATCCTCAAGCTTTCGTATTCCAGTCATAAATAAATAGGGTGGAAAATATGCATGAGGCAAAAATGAGTTCATCATTTGATGACATTTTAAAGTGAGATTTAATAAGGTCAACTTGAACAAAACAACATCCAGTACAGGCTTGCTTAACTATATGAATTTATTTTGTTTTTATTGGCAGTCTGTTTTCATTCCAGTATGAAAAGAGAAATACTTAACATTTATGTGTACACTGCTAAATTTAAAAAAAAAAAAAAAGCATTAATTATTGAGAAAGATTTACATCTTCAACTTATTTTATATACAGGAGGGCCCTGCATATTTGGCACCCTCTTTTTGGTGTTCCATGTTTCTGGTGGTTTTCAAATGAGCCATTGTTCATTATGTTATATGCTTTTTCTGTATATAACACAGTTGCATAAGGGAAGGGCGACCAGCACTGTATTTTAAGGAACGTATTTTATGTACTGCACATGTATTTTACACAAATAACCCGCACATAAAAGAGGGAAGCTTACGACGATGTTTCGGTCCGACTTGTGCGGGTTATTTGTGTATCGTTCCAGTCACGGTATTGTGCTTTTTTTGTTATTCATGTATTTTACTTTTGTATAATTTTGTTTTTATGCCTAGCTGTACTGAGCACTCAATATATGATAGTGTAAGAGTGTTATCAGGCATTTTAGACATTCAATGTTAAGAAAAACACCTTTTCACCCACTGGTGATTTTCGCTTGCTGCCACAGGTTGGGAACATAACAGCCCTCCTGTACTGTACATATGACAATATAAATGTTTTGAATTACAGAAATATATAGCTTAAAGGCAGAAATAATAATTACACTTACTTCTTTGTAAGGGGAAAATACAACAAATGGATGACCAGGTTTGAGGTAATGTAGCAAGTCTCTCAAAATATTGTTGGGGTACTGGCGACATGCCACAACAAGACCTTCAACATTCCCTTGAAGTACAGTTGATGACATTCGTACGTCTTCTTCTTGTTTCCGTACAAACTGAAATATTTTAGTTATGATAGAATCAGGTATAAAAGCTTTAGTATTTTTTTTTAATGACAAATTGCATACTTAACACACAGGGATACATCAGGAAAAATTTAAAGGTAACATTATTTTAAGTACAGTAAAATACTACTTGCCTTTCACTGGAAGCAGTTAGGTTAGGTACTGTGGCTGACTTTCTTACTGGTAACTGGCTTGGAACATGCTGGGACAGCCAACAATGTTGGGCTGAAAGCTGGCAAGGGCCCTAAGGTTGCCCAGGTGGCATGCATAATGATTTTTTCTCATATACTCCCAGGCTCATTTGTCCCATATTAAGATATTTAAACTGTCAATTGTTCAAGTGTTCATTTTGTTTGAGTTTGGTGCATAACCAAGGAAATTCATTTTGCAGGAAATTCATTTTTTCAGGATGAATTTCCAACTAAACTTGAACATTTTTTCCATGAATGTTAACATTAATTAAGTTAAAGCAACAAAATGAACTCAAATCTTTAAAATAAAGCTTATTATATGGAAAGAATTTAGTGTATTCACAGACCTTTAGGAGGTTATCTGATTGGTTGAAAAAACAAAAAACAAAATGCAGTACCTTTTGTGGCCTTGTAAATTCCTTTTTCATGCTTTTTGTATCACTGCTTGGCTTCTCTATTATTTCTGTGGTGTCTGCCTTCATTTCTTTAGTTTCACAATGTGTGTCCTCAGCAATAAGCTCTTTATCAGCTTGTTCAGCTGTAACTGAATAAGAAACAATGAAAATAAATTATACACAAGTTTGGAATTTTGAAAGAAAATTTTATATAACATTATCTACAGAGAACCGTAAAAAGTACTAAAAAAATACAAGGATGACCAAGAGAAAATATAAACTTTCACTACAAAAGTTTCTAAAGTGAAAGAAAATGTTAGTTGTTTCATGACAGCCATAACTATTTCATTTTGTAGGTCATGATAACTGAGGTTGTTTCACTTTGACAATGAAAATCACACTCACTTCAACTTTCCTGAACATGCTGTGCTGTGCAGTGATGCCTCATAGACCAAGAGCTCCTCACCCTGAAGTAGGTGAGGAGCTCTTCATCCATGAAATTAGACCAATCCTTCTCTTCTTTATATCAAATCTGATTGCATCCCAATCCCCCAGTGATATATAGCCCCAACATGTTTAACCCTTCCCCTTGTTACAATAATAATATTTTTTATTAATAATAATAATGGTACACAGTAGTACTGGCCAGGTTGTGGCAACCACCACCAAAATTATTTTTTATAGTAGTAGGTTGGTAGACAGCAACCACCCAGGGAGGTACTACCGTCCTGCCAAGTGAATGTAAAACAAAAGCCTGTAATTGTTTTACATTATGGTAGGATTGCTGGTGTCTTTTGTCTGTCTCATAAATATGCAAGATTACAGGTATCTTGCTACTTCTACTTACACTTAGGTCACACTACACATACATGTACACATTTATTTATACACACTCATCTAAGTTTTCTTTGATTTTATCTTAATAGTTCTTGGCCTTATTACTTTTCCTTTTATATCCATGGGGAAGTGGAATAAGAATCTTTCCTCCGTAAGCCATGCGTGTTGTAAAAGTCAACTAAAATGCCGGGAACAATGGGCTAGTAACCCCTTTTCATGTAAAGATTACTAAAAAGCATAAGGAGAAGAAAATTGTCAAAGTGGGAAGTCTGAATGTTCGTGGATGTTGTGCAAATGATAAGAAAGAGATGATTGTGGATGTTATGAATGAGAAGAAGCTGGATGTCCTGGCTTTAAGTGAAACGAAGCTGAAGGGGGTGGGAGAGTTTCAATGGAGAGGAATAAATGGGATTAGGTCAGGGGTTTCAAATAGAGTTAGAGCTAAAGAAGGAGTAGCAATAATGTTGAAGGATAAGCTATGGCAGGAAAAGAGGGACTATAAATGTATGAATTCAAGGATTATGTGGAGTAAAATAAAGATTGGATGTGAAAAGTGGGTTATAGTAAGTGCGTGTATGCACCTGGAGAAGAAAGAAGTGTAGAGGAGAGAGAGAGATTTTGGGAAATGTTGAGTGAATGCGTGGGGAGTTTTGAATTAAGTGTGAGAGTAATGGTGGTTGGGGATTTCAATGCTAAAGTGGGTAAAAATGTTATGGAGGGAGTAGTAGGTAAATTTGGGGTGCCAGGGGTATATGTAAATGGGGAGCCTTTAATTGAGCTATGTGTAGAAAGAGATTTGGTAATAAGTAATACATATTTTATGAAAAAGGATAAATAAATATACAAGGTATGATGTAGCACGTAATGAAAGTAGTTTGTTAGATTATGTATTGGTGGATAAAAGGTTGATGGGTAGGCTCCAGGATGTACATGTTTATAGAGGGGCAACTGATATATCGGATCATTATTTAGTTGTAGCTACAGTTAGAGTAAGAGGTAGATGGGAAAAGAGGAAGGTGGCAACAACAAGTAAGAGGGAGGTGAAAGTGTATAAACTAAGGGAGGAGGAAGTTCGGGCGAGATATAAGCGACTGTTGGCAGAAAGGTGGGCTAGTGCAAAGATGAGTAGTGGGGGGTTGAAGAGGGTTGGAATAGTTTTAAAAATGCAGTATTAGAATGTGGGGCAGAACTTTGTGGTTATAGGAGGGTGGGGGCAGGTGGAAAGAGGAGTGATTAGTGGAATGATGAAGTAAAGGGTGTGATAAAAGAGAAAAAGTTAGCTTATGAGAGGTTTTTACAAAGCAGAAGTGTTATAAGAAGAGCAGAGTATTGGAGAGTAAAAGAAAGGTGAAGAGAGTGGTGAGAGAGTGCAAAAGGAGAGCAGATGATACAGTGGGAGAGGCACTGTCAAGAAATTTTAATGAAAATAAAAAATTTTGGAGTGAGTTAAACAAGTTAAGAAAGCCTAGGGAAAATATGGATTTGTCAGTTAAAAACAGAGTAGGGGAGTTAGTAGATGGGGAGAGGGAGGTATTAGGTAGATGGCGAGAATATTTTGAGGAACTTTTAAATGTTGAGGAAGAAAGGGAGACGGTATTTTCATGCACTGGTCAGGGAGGTATACCATCTTTTAGGAGTGAAGAAGAGCAGAATGTAAGTGTGGGGGAGGTACGCGAGGCATTACGTAGAATGAAAGGGGGTAAAGCAGCTGGAACTGATGGGATCATGACAGAAATGTTAAAAGCAGGGGGGGATATAGTGTTGGAGTTTTTGGTACTTTTGTTTAATAAATGTATGAAAGAGGGGAAGGTACCTAGGGATTGGCAGAGAGCATGTATAGTCCCTTTATATAAAGGGAAAGGGGACAAAAGAGATTGTAAAAATTATAGAGGAATAAGTTTATTGAGTATACCAGGAAAAGTGTACGGTAGGGTTATAATTGAAAGAATTAGAGGCAAGACAGAATGTAGGATTGCAGATGAGCAAGGAGGTTTCAGAGTGGGTAGGGGATGTGTAGATCAAGTGTTTACATTGAAGCATATATGTGAACAGTATTCAGATAAAGGTAGGGAAGTTTTTATTGCATTTATGGATTTAGAAAAGGCATATGCTAGAGTGGATAGAGGAGCAATGTGGCAGATGTTGCAAGTATATGGAATAGGTGGTAAGTTACTAAATGCTGTAAAGAGTTTTTATGAGGATAGTGAGGCTCAGGTTAGGGTGTGTAGAAGAGAGGGAGACTACTTCCTGGTAAAAGTAGGTCTTAGACAGGGATGTGTAATGTCACCATGGTTGTTTAATATATTTATAGATGGGGTTGTAAAGGAAGTAAATGCTAGGGTGTTCGGGAGAGGGTGGGATTAAATTATGGGGAATCAAATTCAAAATGGGAATTAACACAGTTACTTTTTGCTGATGATACTGTGCTTATGGGAGATTCTAAAGAAAAATTGCAAAGGTTAGTGGATGAGTTTGGGAATGTGTGTAAAGGTAGAAAGTTGAAAGTGAACATAGAAAAGAGTAAAGTGATGAGGGTATCAAATGATTTAGATAAAGAAAAATTGGATATCAAATTGGGAGGAGGAGTATGGAAGAAGTGAATGTTTTCAGATACTTGGGAGTTGACGTGTCGGCGGATGGATTTATGAAGGATGAGGTTAATCATAGAATTGATGAGGGAAAAAAGGTGAGTGGTGCATTGAGGTATATGTGGAGTCAAAAAACATTATCTATGGAGGCAAAGAAGGGAATGTATGAAAGTATAGTAGTACCAACACTCTTATATGGGTGTGAAGCTTGGGTGGTAAATGCAGCAGCGAGGAGAAGGTTGGAGGCAGTGGAGATGTCCTGTCTAAGGGCAATGTGTGGTGTAAATATTATGCAGAAAATTCAGAGTGTGGAAATTAGGAAAAGGTGTGGAGTTAATAAAAGTATTAGTCAGAGGGCAGAAGAGGGGTTGTTGAGGTGGTTTGGTCATTTAGAGAGAATGGATCAAAGTAGAATGACATGGAAAGCATATAAATCTATAGGGGAAGGAAGGCGGGGTAGGGGTCGTCCTCGAAAGGGTTGGAGAGAGGGGGTAAAGGAGGTTTTGTGGGCAAGGGGCTTGGACTTCCAGCAAGCATGCGTGAGTGTGTTAGATAGGAGTGAATGGAGACGAATGGTACTTGGGACCTGATGATCTGTTGGAGTGTGAGCAGGGTAATATTTAGTGAAGGGATTCAGGGAAACCGGTTATTTTCATATAGTCGGACTTGAATCCTGGAAATGGGAAGTACAATGCCTGCACTTTAAAGGAGGGGTTTGGGATATTGGCAGTTTGGAGGGATATGTTGTGTATCTTTATACGTATATGCTTCTAAACTGTTGTATTCTGAGCACCTCTGCAAAAACAGTGATAATGTGTGAGTGTGGTGAAAGTGTTGAATGATGATGAAAGCATTTTCTTTTTGGGGATTTTCTTTCTTTTTTTGGGTCACCCTGCCTCGGTGGGAGACGGCCAACTTGTTAAAAAAAAAAAAATAATAATGGTGATAATGCTTTTCGCAACTAGAGGGAACAGTGGCCAACATTGCCACACTGCTCACCCCTTTTTTATTATTTAAGTATTGGGGACAAAAACATTATCTAGAATATTTCTAATTTTATACTGGCAGTACTATTCAACAATTGCTATAAAACAACTGTCAATCACTTGGGTAAAGTAGATGAAATTAAGTAATATATCACTAAACAAAGTTAAACAATTAGGAAAACTTACGCTCCTTCACCTCATCTGTGCCATTTGTTGCAAATTCTTCTTGAGGAGTAATATCTGGCAACTTGGTAAAATTAATAAATGAGAGAGTTTCCAGCTCTTTAGTTGTGAAGTTCATCAGGTCTACTGCATCTCTGGTTTGGAAAACAAACATCCAGCAATATAATACATAAACAATAAAGGTATTTTAGGTATAACTGTTTAACTTAAATTGCAAATGCATCTAAACAAATGTAAACTGTAACAATATATATCTCATAGCTACATTCTAGGATAAACTACAGCAGCACTTTGAACAACAAATTATTTTTGCATCAAATTTATAATGATGATTAAGACTGGTTTTAATGGAGAAGAATGGCCACAATACCTCAGACAGGTAGAGCAGCCTATATTTGGACATAACATAGGACGAGATGGACAGACATGTGGCTTTGGTATCTGCCAGTGCCAATATTAGCCATTAAACATAAGTTGTTATAGTGGGCAAGGCTTTAACCCTTAAACGGTCCAAACGCGTACGCCCCAAACGTATATACATGTATACGTTTTATTTTTCCTGCCTTCAAATTTGGCACGATTGGCCTGAGATGTCTTGTCAGCATAGAATGGGTCCTAACACTCAGTGTATGCTGAATTAAAAAAATCTGGGACCACTTAGTACCTTGTGGGAGCGCCAGTTAAATTGAGCGCCAGCTAGAGCAAACAGTGTGGCAAACACCAAGGATTCACTGATGTAATATCACATTAACACTCCTCTTTTAAGAGGAAAGTGATGTTAACCCCAAGTTTAGGGTCTGTCTATCTCTGTATTTTTGTCTATCTCTATCTCTGTCTATCTCTATCTTCCTCTATCTATCTCTGTCTATATCTATCTGTCTCTGTCTTTGTCTGTCTCTGTATCTCTTTCAGTCTGTCTCTCTTTCTATCTGTCTATCTCTGTCTCACAGGTACACATAAATACAAGTATACATAGTGTAAATTACCCAGGATAACCCAAAAAATCCAGACAAAGTGCTATACTTTGCTTGAAGATGTGAGTAAACGTGATGACGCAGTCTTGTGGCTCTCTCTGAGACAGCTAGACGGATAGACAGGGAGCTTGACAGACAGACAAATAGACAGACAGACATGTTTGTGTACCAGAAAAAACAAAGTGAGGGCGATGCTCATCAAATATCACCTCTAATCTTTTCTTATCAGCTGCACCCTCCCCCACCCTTGTGTATGCTCATCAAACGTCAGCTCTTATCAGATGTTATCTCATCTTATCATGTCACTGTCAGGGGTGGACTTTGTTTTTCATGCTTTAAGGGAACTTATTATTACCTATTATTATTATTATTACTTATTATTCTTCTCCTCCTCCTCCTCCTCTTCCTCCTCCTCTTCCTCCTCCTCTTCCTCCTCCTTCTCCTCCTCCCTTCTCTTCCTCCATCTCCTCCTCCTCCTCCTCCTTCTCTTCCTCCTCCTCCTCCTCCTCTCCTCCTCATTGTTATTATATACTTCCACATATCCATAACATTGCTGGGACATATAAGTACTTTGTATATATTCCAAGACAATAGTAAATGGCTAAGGCAGGTGTAAATGTCCACCTCTCAGTGTGTTCGTGACAATTTGAGTACAATTTCAGTACATAATACTAGTGTCAGAACAAAGATTGGTTATAAAATGACAAGCACTACTACAAATTGTAATTATCAGAACATAAAAATTACATAAAATAATATGAAAAATAGAAAAAAAGGTATATGGGCAACACTTCTGCAAGTGGCAGGACTCAATGTTGCTGTCACATGAGCATCCAGTGCCAACTTCTTGGCCTCATATCTCGGTAAGTACTGACCCTAATTTTTTGTTATTCTAAAACATGTCAAAAAATGTGTTCTTTTTTCTATAATTTTTTTTTTCTTTTTTAAACGGGGCGCTGCACGAGTGAACATATATATACATTTGGACCGTTTAAGGGTTAAAATATGTAATTAATGAATGGCCTGCCCATTACAACAACTCAAGAAATTCATGTTTAACAAAACTATTTTCAGTAACTGGTTTGAGAAATTCTTTGTACTGAAGTATGAATATATCAGGAAGAACGCTAAAATTAACGAAAATGATGCTCGGATATTGTTAATGTTGGAAAATGCCCCTGTTCATTCAGGTCTGAATACATAACCTTAGCCAATGGCTGTACTAGATGCAAGTAACTATCAACTACAATAGCACCACTTCTGTTATCCAGCCCATGAATCAAGAGATTATTTACACAGATAAAAAGCTCATAAAGAGAAGTTTTCATATCATAGACTTGGAAGAGTCTGAGAATGAATGTGGAGAGGAAACTGAAGAGGAGGCTGTGTGTGGGGGGTAAATAATTACAAGAGCAATTTACAACTGCGGTATTATAGATTACACCTTGATGGCAGTGAATACTTATATTAATGACAACATTTCATCCACACAGTATCAGTCAGTAGAGAATACATGAGAAAAAGGAGGGTGTACAAATCTGTAGTGGAGGGAAGGCTTGGAAGGGGTGTCCCTAGGAAAGGTTGGAGGGAGGGAGTACAGAAGGTTTTGTGTGCAAGGTACTTGGACATCCAGCAGGAATGTATGAGCATGTTAGAAGTGGAGGCAAATCATTTCTGGGACTTGACAAGCTGTGAGAGTGTGAATAAGGTAATTTTTGTTTGGGTGGGGTAGGGGGGGAGATTTGATGAGCTGTGTGAGTGTAAGCATGGTAACATTTTGTGAAGGGATTCAGGGATATCAGTTAACCAGACTTGAGTCCTGGAGGTCGGAAGTACAGTGCCTGCATTCTGAAGGAGGGGTAGGGGTATCTGCAGTTTGGAGGGGCATCTGAACTGTAGTATCAGCATGCCTCTGGCAAGACAGTGATGGAGTGAATGATGGTGAAAGTTTCTTTTTTTGGGTCACTACCTTGGTGGCAGATGGTCGTGTTAAAAGAAAAAAATACATATATTTTCAATTATTCTTATTCTTATTATTATACTGTGTGGGTGAAACATTATCAGTAATGAAGGTATTCAGTGCATGTGTCATTTACTCCACCTTGTTGGTATTTACATATCCCAGTTCTAATTTATAAGTGTGCCAAAGTATGAGATGAAATTAAGGTAACTACTGGTGATTTAAGAAATTCTTAGAAAAATATTCTTACTGAAATATAAATTCTAATAATAACAATCTTGGTAATGCAAACTTTGTTATTCTTGGGTAAAGCAAGACATGTGGACAAGTTTCCCTATACTCAATTTACCTTTCAAGTACAGTACATACTAATTAGTGTTGGTTGAGTGCTGTGGGTCACATTTTTGGGAGTGATATACCACAGCTGGAACCTGGTTATGAAATGAGCCCAATAGCATAACAGCTGACTTATTTAATATTTAATTTAGAATTCTTCATGAGTACAGCAGAATTTCAAGGTGTAGGTGTATTACATTTGCAGAAATTTAAAAAAAATAAAAAGTTATTTTCAGATAATGACTGATGACAAATACAATACCATCAATAATGTTTAAATATAATTGCAGTATTAGCACCAGCAATTCTTAAACTGCCACTACGGGTTTACAAAACTTATAATTCATACAGTGAACAGCACCAGGTAGTGTCCATTTACAGTAAAAAACTATGGAAAACAAACCAGTAAAAAAAAAATTAATGGGCTGAAAGGTTCAGTACCCTTATGTGGGTGTCTACATAACATTTGATTACTAACCACTTGACTTTAGGGTACAATATATATTACTGACACACTTTTTCTTTCAGTTAACATTGAATTTAACAATTATTATGTTTTGAAGGTGAGAAATAGAGTGGATGCACTCTATATGATGACTGACAATGTTGTAGTTTGGTGGATCATCTGAAGCGTGATGTTGGTGTACTTATGGAATGACAGCTAGGAAATGAGTTTCGGTGAATGTATTTCTTTCTCTGGGTCACCTACCTTAGTGGGAAATGGCCAATGGTTTAAATGATATATATTTCCTGGACATTCATAAAGAAAAAGTATGTATTTTTTTTAAAGGCAAGGGAAGAAAATTAAACTGAGATTTTTGCAAAAATCTTACCTCTGTGGATGATTTCCATGATAAACCTGAACCAAATGCCCAATAGTGCCCATGCGATGCAACATGGCAGCAGTCACCAATCCCTGCGTACCAGACTCAAATACAGCAAAGGAACCACCTGGCTGGACGTTCACATGACACAGAAGTTGTGACAAGGTATCTACACGAAGATTCCTGGAGGAAAGGTAACAATCAGAAATTTTCTTTTATTAAGTCACTAACTTTAGCTGTAATTAAGAATAAAGTAACAAAATAAGACTCCCATCTTTTGATATGTATTTAGCAAATTGTATTTATCGAGAGTGTATAAATCTGTAATGGAGGAAAGGTGGGTAGGGGTTGGCCTAGGGAAGGTTCGAGGGAGGGGGTAAAGGAGGTTTTGTGTGCAAGGGGCTCGGACTTCCAGCAAGCGTGCGTAAGGGTGTTAGATAGGAACGAATGGAGACAAATGGTTTTTAGGACTTGACGTGCTGTTGGAGTGTGAGCAAGGTAACATTTATGAAGGGATTTAGGGAAACCGGCAGGCTGGACTTGATTCCTGGAGATGGGAAGTACAATTCTGGCACTCTGAAGGAGGGGTGTTAATTTTATTATTATTATTATCACACTGGCCGATTCCCACCAAGGCAGGGTGGCCCGAAAAAGAAAAACTTTCACCATCATTCACTCCATCACTGTCTTGCCAGAGGGGTGCTTTACATTACAGTTTTTAAACTGCAACATTAACACCCCTCCTTCAGAGTGCAGGCACTGTACTTCCCATCTCCAGGACTCAAGTCCGGCCTGCCGGTTTCCCTGAACCCCTTCATAAATGTTACTTTGCTCACACTCCAACAGCATGTCAAGTATTAAAAACCATTTGTCTCCATTCACTCCTATCAAACACGCTCACGCATGCCTGCTGGAAGTCCAAGCCCCTCGCACACAAAACCTCCTTTACCCCCTCCCTCCAACCTTTCCTAGGCCGACCCCTACCCCGCCTTCCTTCCACTACAGACAGATACACTCTTGAAGTCATTCTGTTTCGCTCCATTCTCTCTACATGTCTGAACCACCTCAACAACCCTTCCTCAGCCCTCTGGACAACAGTTTTGGTAATCCTGCACCTTCTCCTAACTTCCAAACTACGAATTCTCTGCATTACATTCACACCACACATTGCCCTCAGACATGACATCTCCACTGCCTCCAGCCTTCACCTTGCTGCAACATTCATCACCCATGCTTCACACCCATATAAGAGCGTTGGCAAAACTATACTCTCATACATTCCCCTCTTTGCCTCCAAGGACAAAGTTCTTTGTCTCCACAGACTCCTAAGTGCACCACTCACCCTTTACCCCTCATCAATTCTATGATTCACCTCATCTTTCATAGACCCATCCGCTGACACGTCCACTCCCAAATATCTGAATACATTCACCTCCTCCATACTCTCTCCCTCCAATCTGATATCCAATCTTTCATCACCTAATCTTTTTGTTATCCTCATAACCTTACTCTTTCCTGTATTCACTTTAAATTTTCTTCTTTTGCATACCCTACCAAATTCATCCACCAATCTCTGCAACTTCTTTTCAGAATCTCCCAAGAGCACAGTGTCATCAGCAAAGAGCAACTGTGACAACTCCCACTTTGTGTGTGATTCTTTATCTTTTAACTCCACGCCTCTTGCCAAGACCCTCGCATTTACTTCTCTTACAACCCCATCTATAAATATATTAAACAACCACGGTGACATCACACATCCTTGTCTAAGGCCTACTTTTACTGGAAAATAATTTCCCTCTTTCCTACATACTCTAACTTGAGCCTCACTATCCTCATAAAAACTCTTCACTGCTTTCAGTAACTTACCTCCTACACCATACACCTGCAACATCTGCCACATTGCCCCCCTATCCACCCTGTCATACGCCTTTTCCAAATCCATAAATGCCACAAAGACCTCTTTAGCCTTATCTAAATACTGTTCACTTATGTGTTTCACTGTAAACACCTGGTCCACACACTCCCTACCTTTCCTAAAGCCTCCTTGTTCATCTGCTATCCTATTCTCCGTCTTACTCTTAATTCTTTCAATAATAACTCTACCATACACTTTACCAGGTATACTCAACAGACTTATCCCCCTATAATTTTTGCACTCTCTTTTGTCCCCTTTGCCTTTATACAAAGGAACTATGCATGCTCTCTGCCAATCCCTAGGTACCTTACCCTCTTCCATACATTTATTAAATAATTGCACCAACCACTCCAAAACTATATACCCACCTGCTTTTAACATTTCTATCTTTATCCCATCAATCCCAGCTGCCTTACCCCCTTTCATTTTACCTACTGCCTCACAAACTTCCCCCACACTCACAACTGACTCTTCCTCACTCCTACAAGATGTTATTCCTCCTTGCCCTATACACGAAATCACAGCTTCCCTATCTTCATCAACTTTTAACAATTCCTCAAAATATTCCCTCCATCTTCCCAATACCTCTAACTCTCCATTTAATAACTCTCCTCTCCTATTTTTAACTGACAAATCAATTTGTTCTCTAGGCTTCCTTAACTTGTTAATCTCACTCCAAAACTTTTTCTTATTTTCAACAAAATTTGTTGATAACATCTCACCCACTCTCATTTGCTCTCTTTTTACATTGCTTCACTGCTCTCTTAACCTCTCTCTTTTTCTCCATATACTCTTCCCTCCTTGCATCACTTCTACTTTGTAAAAACTTCTCATATGCTAACTTTTTCTCCCTTACTACTCTCTTTACATCATCATTCCACCAATCGCTCCTCTTCCCTCCTGCAACGACTTTCCTGTAACCACAAACTTCTGCTGAACACTCTAACACGACATTTTTAAACCTACCCCATACCTCTTCGACCCCATTGCCTATGCTCTCATTAGCACACCTATCCTCCAATAGCTGTTTATATCTTACCCCTTTAAACTGCCTCCTCTTTTAGTTTATAAACCTTCACCTCTCTCTCCCCTGATGCTTCTATTCTCCTTGTATCCTATCTACCTTTTACTCTCAGTGTAGCTACAACTAGAAAGTGATCTGATATATCTGGCCCCTCTATAAACATGTACATCCTGAAGTCTACTCAACAGCCTTTTATCTACCAATACATAATCCAACAAACTACTGTCATTTTGCCCTACTAATATCTTGTATACTTATTTATCCTCTTTTTCTTAAAATATGTATTACCTACAACTAAACCCCTTTCTATACAAATTCAATCAAAGGCTCCCATTATCATTCACACCTGGCACCCCAAAACTTACCTACCACACCCTCTCTAAAAGTTTCTCCTACTTTAGCATTCAGGTCCCCTACCACAATTACTCTCTCACTTGGTTCAAAGGTTCCTATACATTCACTTAACATCTCCCAAAATCTCTCTCTCCTCCTCTACATTCCTCTCTTCTCCAGGTGCATACACGCTTATTATGACCCACTTTTCGCATCCAACCTTTACTTTAATCCACATAATTCTTGAGTTTACAAATTCATATTCTCTTTTTTTTATTATATTTTTTTTATTATCACACCGGCCGATTCCCACCAAGGCAGGGTGGCCCGAAAAAGAAAAACTTTCACCATCATTCACTCCATCACTGTCTTGCCAGAAGGGTGCTTTACACTACAGTTTTTAAACTGCAACATTAACACCCCTCCTTCAGAGTGCAGGCACTGTACTTCCCATCTCCAGGACTCAAGTCCGGCCTGCCGGTTTCCCTGAATCCCTTCATAAATGTTACTTTGCTCACACTCCAACAGCACGTCAAGTATTAAAAACCATTTGTCTCCATTCACTCCTATCAAACACGCTCACGCATGCCTGCTGGAAGTCCAAGCCCCTCGCACACAAAACCTCCTTTACCCCCTCCCTCCAACCCTTCCTAGGCCGACCCCTACCCCGCCTTCCTTCCACTACAGACTGATACACTCTTGAAGTCATTCTGTTTCGCTCCATTCTCTCTACATGTCCGAACCACCTCAACAACCCTTCCTCAGCCCTCTGGACAACAGTTTTGGTAATCCCGCACCTCCTCCTAACTTCCAAACTACGAATTCTCTGCATTATTCACACCACACATTGCCCTCAGACATGACATCTCCACTGCCTCCAGCCTTCTCCTCGCTGCAACATTCATCACCCACGCTTCACACCCATATAAGAGCGTTGGTAAAACTATACTCTCATACATTCCCCTCTTTGCCTCCAAGGACAAAGTTCTTTGTTTCCACAGACTCCTAAGTGCACCACTCACTCTTTTTCCCTCATCAATTTTATGATTCACCTCATCTTTCATAGACCCATCCGCTGACACGTCCACTCCCAAATATCTGAATACGTTCACCTCCTCCATACTCTCTCCCTCCAATCTGATATTCAATCTTTCATCACCTAATCTTTTTGTTATCCTCATAACCTTACTCTTTCCTGTATTCACCTTTAATTTTCTTCTTTTGCACACCCTACCAAATTCATCCACCAATCTCTGCAACTTCTCTTCAGAATCTCCCAAGAGCACAGTGTCATCAGCAAAGAGCAGCTGTGACAACTCCCACTTTGTGTGTGATTCTTTATCTTTTAACTCCACGCCTCTTGCCAAAACCCTCGCATTTACTTCTCTTACAACCCCATCTATAAATATATTAAACAACCACGGTGACATCACACATCCTTGTCTAAGGCCTACTTTTACTGGGAAAAAATTTCCCTCTTTCCTACATACTCTAACTTGAGCCTCACTATCCTCGTAAAAACTCTTCACTGCTTTCAGTAACCTACCTCCTACACCATACACTTGCAACATCTGCCACATTGCCCCCCTATCCACCCTGTCATACGCCTTTTCCAAATCCATAAATGCCACAAAGACCTCTTTAGCCTTATCTAAATACTGTTCACTTATATGTTTCACTGTAAACACCTGGTCCACACACCCCCTACCTTTCCTAAAGCCTCCTTGTTCATCTGCTATCCTATTCTCCGTCTTACTCTTAATTCTTTCAATTATAACTCTACCATACACTTTACCAGGTACACTCAACAGACTTATCCCCCTATAATTTTTTGCACTCTCTTTTATCCCCTTTGCCTTTATACAAAGGAACTATGCATGCTCTCTGCCAATCCCTAGGTACCTTACCCTCTTCCATACATTTATTAAATAATTGCACCAACCACTCCAAAACTATATCCCCACCTGCTTTTAACATTTCTATCTTTATCCCATCAATCCCGGCTGCCTTACCTCCTTTCATTTTACCTACTGCCTCACGAACTTCCCCCACACTCACAACTGGCTCTTCCTCACTCCTACAAGATGTTATTCCTCCTTGCCCTATACACGAAATCACAGCTTCCCTATCTTCATCAACATTTAACAATTCCTCAAAATATTCCTTCCATCTTCCCAATACCTCTAACTCTCCATTTAATAACTCTCCTCTCCTATTTTTAACTGACAAATCCATTTGTTCTCTAGGCTTTCTTAACTTGTTAATCTCACTCCAAAACTTTTTCTTATTTTCAACAAAATTTGTGATAACATCTCACCCACTCTCTCATTTGCTCTCTTTTTACATTGCTTCACCACTCTCTTAACTTCTCTCTTTTTCTCCATATACTCTTCCCTCCTTGCATCACTTCTACTTTGTAAAAACTTCTCATATGCTAACTTTTTCTCCCTTACTACTCTCTTTACATCATCATTCCACCAATCGCTCCTCTTCCCTCCTGTAACCACAAACTTCTGCTGAACACTCTAACACTACATTTTTAAACCTACCCCATACCTCTTCGACCCCATTGCCTATGCTCTCATTAGCCCATCTATCCTCCAATAGCTGTTTATATCTTACCCTAACTGCCTCCTCTTTTAGTTTATAAACCTTCACCTCTCTCTTCCCTGATGCTTCTATTCTCCTTGTATCCCATCTACCTTTTACTCTCAGTATAGCTACAACTAGAAAGTGATCTTTTCTCCTTCCATAACTGATCCTTCAACATTACTGCTACCCCTTCCTTTGCTCTAACTCTCTCAGATACTCCAGATTTAATCCCATTTATTTTCCCCCACCGAAACTCCCCTACCCCCTTCAGCTTTGTTTCGCTTAGGGCCAGGACATCCAACTTCTTTTCATTCATAACATCAGCAATCATCTGTTTCTTGTCATCTGCACTACATCCACGCACATTCAAACATCCCAGTTTTATAAAGTTTTTCTTCTTCTCTTTTTTAGTAAATGTCTACAGGATAAGGGGTTACTAGCCCATTGCTCCCGGCATTTTAGTCGCCTCATACGACACGCATGGCTTACGGAGGAAAGATTCTTTTCCACTTCCCCATGGACAATAGAAGAAATAAAAAAGAACAAGAGCTATTTAGAAAAAGGAGAAAAACCTAGATGTATATATATATATATATATATATATATATATATATATATATATATATATATATATATATATATATATATATATGCATGTGCGTGTCTATGAAGTGTGACCAAAGTGTAAGTAGGAGTAGCAAGATATCCCTGTTATCTAGCGTGTTTATGAGACAGAAAAAGAAACCAGCAATCCTACCATCATGCAAAACAGTTACAGGTTTCTGTTTCACAGTCATCTGGCAGGATGGTAGTACTTCCCTGGGTGGTTGCTGTCTACCAACCTACTACCTATAGGGGTGTTAATATTGCAGTTTTATAACTGTATTGTAAGCATGCCTCTGGCAAGACCGATGGAGTGAGTGATGATGAAAGTTTTTCTTTTTTCTGGGCCACCCTGCCTTGGTGGGAAATGGCTGATGTGTTAATAATAAAATAAAAAAAAATATTTCTCAGTGTCATGTACACTAACATTTTTGGCAGGGCAGAGAATGGAGATAACTCATGGAAAGTCCTCATAAATGATTAAAGCTGCCAAGTATTTCCTTATTATAATTTCAGAAAAAAATAAGAATGAAGTTTAAAGCAGCATAATTAGTTTTGTGTAGTATCCAAAATTTATCTGGACTACTAATTTAGAAAATTAAAACAAAATATATACAATGGAAGGAGGGTCGAGAAAATACAGTACTGTCATAGAAGTGAGTAGTTATTGTTTCAGGGAGATATATTTAAGCTATAGCAGTAGTGTTATGGAAACCAAAACTAGTGAGATATGTATCCCTAGATGATAAAACTCATTCAAACATCAGTGGTAAGTATGACAGTTGAGTAATGGAAACTTTCACATAAAAAAAAAAAAAACGAAAAAAATTCTAATCTGAATAGGCTGTCAAGCTCTTAAATATTTGCAACCAAATGCAGCAGAACTTTATTATGCAGAATTACAACCAAAACAGAGATGATAATCTTGGCTAAAGAAATGCTTGGCTATACTCACGCTATTTTGAGTGGATCCAGGGTGTAATACATGTTGCTAAGCAGTCGTATCGAAGGTCTATGTATGGTAATGATCTCTCCATATTTCTTTTGTTTTTTATTAACATATTTTTCTTTGGAAAATACTGTTTTATCTTTGAATGTTGTGCTGTTTTCTGTGATTGTCTGGATAACCTGAAAGGATTAACATTGTCTACTAATAATAGTCTTTATGATGTTCCAAAAATTATGACAAGTTGCAGGTATATTTACGCTATACATTACTGTGGAATGCAATCAAGTCAAAGTCGAAGTCAAATTTTATTTCCTAGAATAACATGGTGTTGACTGAGCTCTAAGATTCCATCACTTCGTACACTCGTAAACACGAGGAAATTAAATCTTCATCAGAGTACAAAACAAATTTCTATCTTTCTTTCAATACACCGGCCGTATCCCACCGAGGTGGGGTGGCCCAAAAGGAAAAACGAAAGTTTCTCCTTTCAAATTTAGTGATATATACAGGAGAAGGGGTTACTAACCCCTTGCTTCCGGCATTTCAGTCGCCTCTTACGACACGCATGGCTTACGGAGGAAGAATTCTGTTCCACTTCCTCATGGAGAACAAAACAAATTCTGGCCACAAAATAGAGCGAAACACCAACGTCAAAGACCTGGGAGTGATCATGTCGGAGGATCTCACCTTCAAGGACCATAACATTGTATCAATCGCATCTGCTAGAAAAATGACAGGATGGATAATGAGAACCTTCAAAACTAGGGATGCCAAGCCCATGATGACACTCTTCAGGTCACTTGTTCTATCTAGGCTGGAATATTGCTGCACACTAACAGCACCTTTCAAGGCAGGTGAAATTGCTGACCTAGAAAATGTACAGAGAACCTTCATGGCACGCATAACGGAGATAAAACACCTCAATTACTGGGAGCGCTTGAGGTTCCTGAACCTGTATTCCCTGGAACGCAGGAGGGAGAGATACATGATTATATACACCTGGAAAATCCTAGTACCGTACTTGCACACGAAAATCACTCACTACGAAAGCAAAAGACTTAGCAGACGATGCAACATCTCCCCAATGAAAAGCAGGGGTGTCACTAGCACGTTAAGAGACCATACAATAAGTGTCAGGGGCCCGAGACTGTTCAACTGCCTCCCAGCATACATAAGGGGGATTACCAACAGACCCCTGGCAGTCTTCAAGCTGGCACTGGACAAGCACCTAAAGTCAGTACCTGACCAGCCGGGCTGTGGCTTGTACGTTGGTTTGCGTGCAGCCCAGCAGTAACAGCCTGGTTGATCAGGCTCTGATCCACCAGGAGGCCTGGTCACAGAACAGGCCGCGGGGGCGTTGACCCCGGAACTCTCTCCAGGTAAACTCCAGGTAAACTCTAAGCAAAGCATTTGGATGGGTCTCACTCCTGCTTATTTAACCCTTAAATGGTCCAAACATATATATACATTTTTTCAAAATCTGAAAGTATGTAAAAAATGTAGATCTTCTTTTTTGTTTTACATTTGAAAACGTGTAAAAAAAACTTTTATCTACATTTTGTTTTTTTTTTTATATTTGAAAATATGTAAAAAAAAGTAGATCTACTTTTGTAGCACTATGAATTTGAACGTGGATCTGTTTGGACCGTTTAAGGGTTAACTAGCCAACATTGCCATCACAAATACTTGCATACTTCTACTATCATGCACATGACTGTTCAATATTACTGTTGCACACCTACAATTGTACTGCTCATCAGACATCACACCAAGAACAACAACTATACAAAAAAATTAAATATAACCAACTTAATTCCCAGTCTTTACATGCAGTATCATAGTATCATAAATTAATAATTACATAAAATGCATAAATGTCACTTCTGCAACCCATGTATCATGTCACTTATGTACATTATTAATAAGGTACAAAACTGAATTCCTGTGAAGTACTTGGCAAAAATTATTTAAGAGCCAGAACTTCATGCACTTGTATAAATTTTTCAATAAATATATTATACATACTAACAAATATTTTAATGCATTTTAATACAGTTTGTAGCACTGTATCAATAATGAGATTTGAGTTTTAAGAACTGTACCTTAATTATAATTTCCTTAAATCTAAATCATCACAAACCAAAATTCATCAATAACAGTAATGAACTGAATATTTATACAGTGGTAGTTATCATTCCCACCTCTTTTCCTGTCAGCCCTGAGCCTTTGAGCTGGATAATTTCTTCTGGAGTCAACTTTTGGGATCTGCCATCATCTTGCAAGTCACGATTGTCTTCCCCACCTTCCTTCACTGAGTGAGTAGTAAATTGTGATAAATACTGAACCTGTGGCATTACTGCTACACAGTTACAGTAGTGTTAAAATAGTCCAAGAAACTGTACTTATCAAACCTTTATGCTGCAAAAATCTCATTTAGGTAATTTTGAAGGTTGTGTACATTCTGTGGACTCGATCCTGATTTATAATATATTGTATAATTTGATTTATAATGCATCTGAATAATTGGTATATATCAGCAATTTTGTGCTGTTGTGTACTGAGTGAGCATTACTAACTGACTTACGTTAAAAATGAATCACAACGTAAATCTGAGACTTACCAATATCAAGACAAGTATTAAGTTCTTCAGTTTTATGTATACTAAAAAGTTTGTTTGACATCCTTTCCATTCTAAATGAAGAGCCAAATGGGCAGCCAAGAGCACCATCAATATTAAGGGTGAACTGCCCATCCCCTCGTTTACCAAATGCATAGGTCCTGTAAAGTAATATATGTACAGACAGAATTTGGTTAACACAAGCCTATCTGATGTTATCCTGATGCCAAATGACTTCGAACAGGCGATAAATGACATGCCCATGCACTCTGCCCCAGGGCCAGACTCATGGAACTCCGTGTTCATCAAGAACTGCAAGAAGCCCCTATCACGAGCTTTTACCATCCTATGGAGAGGGAGCATGGACAAGGGGGTCATCCCACAGTTACTAAAAACAACAGACATAGCCCCACTCCACAAAGGGGGCAGTAAAGCAACAGCAAAGAACTACAGACTGATAGTACTAACATCCCATATCATAAAAATCTTTGAAAGGGTCCTAAGAAGCAAGATCACCACCCATCTAGAAACCCATCAATTACACAACCCAGGGCAACATGGGTTTAGAACAGGTCGCTCCTGTCTGTCTCAACTATTGGATCACTACGACAAGGTCCTAGATGCACTAGAAGACAAAAAGAATGCAGATGTAATATATACAGATTTTGCAAAAGCCTTTGACAAGTGTGACCATGACGTAATAGTGCATAAAATGCGAGCTAAAGGAATAACAGGAAAAGTCGGTCGATGGATCTATAATTTCCTCACTAACAGAACACAGAGAGTAGTAGTCAACAGAGTAAAGTCCGAGGCAGCTACGGTGAAAAGCTCTGTTCCACAAGGCACAGTACTCACTCCCATCTTGTTCCTCATCCTCATATCTGACATAGACAAGGATGTCAGCCACAGCACCGTGTCTTCCTTTGCAGATGACACCCGAGTCTGCATGACAGTGTCTTCCATTGCAGACACTGCAAGGCTCCAGGCAGACATCAACCAAATCTTTCAGTGGGCTGCAGAAAACAACATGAAGTTCAACGATGAGAAATTTCAATTACTCAGATATGGTAAACACGAGGAAATTAAATCTTCATCAGAGTACAAAACAAATTCTGGCCACAAAATAGAGTGAAACACCAACGTCAAAGCCCTGGGAGTGATCATGTCGGAGGATCTCACCTTCAAGAACCATAACATAGTATTAATCGCATCTGCTAGAAAAATGACAGGATGGATAATGAGAACTTTCAAAACTAGGGATACCAAGCCCATGATGACACTCTTCAGGTCACTTGTTCTATCTAGGCCAGAATATTGCTGCACACTAACAGCACCTTTCAAGGCAGGTGAAATTGCTGACCTAGAAAATGTACAGATAACCTTCACGGCACGCATAACGGAGATAAAACACCTCAATTACTGGGAGCGCTTGAGGTTCCTGAACCTGTATTCCCTGGAATGCAGGCGGGAGAGATACATGATTATATACACCTGGAAAATCCTAGAGGGACTAGTACCGAACTTGCACACGAAAATCACTCACTACGAAAGCAAAAGACTTGGCAGACGATGCAACATCCCCCCAATGAAAAGCAGGGGTGTCACTAGCACGTTAAGAGACCATACAGTAAGTGTCAGGGGCCCGAGACTGTTCAACTGCCTCCCAGCATACATAAGGGGTATTACCAACAGACCCCTGGCAGTCTTCAAGCTGGCACTGGACAACCACCTAAAGTCGGTTCCTGACCAGCCGGGCTGTGGCTCGTACGTTGGTTTGCGTGCAGCCAGCAGTAACAGCCTGGTTGATCAGGCTCTGATCCACCAGGAGGGCATTGACCCCCGGAACTCTCTCCAGGTAAACTCCAGGTATCACAGGATTGGCAGTGAGGTAATTTGTGTGAATACACATTTAAATGTGTGAGTTAAAAATAGAAGCTTGATAAATAGTTTGCACTCTGGTAGGATTGCTAGTCTTTCCTTTTTGTTTCTGGATGAACTCTAAAGAGAGCATATAAATCTTATTAAATAGATTAGCCGAAAGGATACTACAAGGCTTTTCTTCCCAGATAATGGAAAAATATTGGAATGGGATCCACGGAAAGGTAGTATTTGCTACAATGAAAAATAACAAAAAATTATGTGGCAAATTGAATACCAAGGATAGGATACAACAAGTAAACATTTGTTTTATTAGCTGCAAAACAGTAGATATGGTATATGTAGTAATTATATATATAGTAATTATATATGCAGAAACTAGAAATATGTAATCTCACACAATTCAGTTAACTTTCCACTTATGCGGTTTACTACTTTAGTGTCTCTTCAATCTGTGGTGTTTAAATAACATAATACAAAAGCAGTGTTAAATACTAACCTGCCTTGTAACACACGACATGTCTTCATATACGTGCCTCTCTGGACCACAACTGTGCACCCATCATATATCTCATCCTTCTCCTCAGGCATCACCTACACATTATTAAGTAACAAAGTCAATCATGAACTATTAGAGGTTTTTAACAATACAATCAACATGTTTAATAAAATGCAAAAAAATAATCAATTGTATACAATAATAATAATAATAATAATAACAATAATAATAATAATAATAATAATAATAATAATAATAATAATAATAATAAAATTACAGAATCACTAATATATTATCTACAGTATATACTACATATATGTATGTATGTATGCGTGTATTTATGTAGGTATACATATGTATACGTATGTTTGTGTGTATATATATATATATATATATATATATATATATATATATATATATATATATATATATATATATAATATATATATATATATATATATATATATAGGATCGAAACTCGTAACCCGTGATGAGTTAATGGACCGAAACGTCGTTATTCACATAACCTAACCTACTTTTCTTCATGTATTACTGTGTTAGGTTAGGTTAGGTGGCCCGGTGGCCTGGTGGCTAAAGCTCCCGCTTCACACACGGAGGGCCCGGGTTCGATTCCCGGCGGGTGGAAACATTTCGACACGTTTCCTTACACCTGTTGTCCTGTTCACCTAGCAGCAAATAGGTACCTGGGTGTTAGTCGACTGGTGTGGGTCACATTCTGGGGGACAAGATTCAGGACCCCAATGGAAATAAGTTAGACAGTCCTCGATGACGCACTGACTTTCTTGGGTTATCCTGGGTGGCTAACCCTCCGGGGTTAAAAATCCGAACGAAATCTTATCTTATCTTATCACAAGCACCTCAATGGAAATAAGTCACATTGAAACTGAAATCGAATTTTTCTGGGTTATTGTACATAATCATCATGCAAGAGAATTATAATCATCCAGAAAATTGTGTAATGTGCATCCTATTGGGCCTTCAGATTATTGTATGGTTTTTATGTACCGTAATCTTGAAATAAAAGACCTGAACCAAAAATAAAGTAACGTAAGTGTGTGGTGGTGGTTGTTGATGGGGTTGTTCAGGGCCACCAAAAACCTACCACCCAACTACCCCGGGGGTATAATTAAGTAAGTTTATTCAGGTATACACAAATAGAATTATCATACATAGCAGCATATGTGTAGAGAACCTGGGATAACCCAAAAAAGTCAGACAGAGTGACTTATTTCCATTGGGGTCCTTTTACCTTATTATAATATAAAGGTTATAATATTTTCTTATTATTCTATAATGAAGATAACATCTTATTATCATACTAAAAAGACTATCTACTACACGAGGGTCATTAAGACTATCTATAATACGAGGGTCATTACTAGGAATAAGGTAAAATTTACACGTATGTTAGATAAAAAATAGAAAATCATTTCCCTCCCTTTCTGTAGCTACATTCATCAGACACCTTTTGGCACTCTTCTTGAACTGGTTCATGCTATGTTGTAAGTTTATTTAGGTACATGGGCACATAAGTACAGTTATTATATATAATGTAAATTACCTAGGACAATCCAAAAAAGTCAGGCAAAGTGAATTATTTCCACTGGGGTTGGACCCCAATGGAAATCAAGGATCCCAACGGAAATCTCACTTTGACTTTTTTGGGCTTAAGCAGGTAAGTAAGTTTATTTAGGTATTGGTACACATAAAACAGTTAGGTAAATTATCATTCATATGTGTAGATTACTTAGGACAACCCAAAAAAGTCAAAGTGGCCTGGTGTCTAAAGCTCCCGCATCACACACGGAGGGCCCGGGTTCGATTCCCGGCGGGTGGAAACATTTCGACACGTTTCCTTACACCTGTTGTCCTGTTCACCTAGCAGCAAATAGGTACCTGGGTGTTAGTCGACTGGTGTGGGTCACATTCTGGGGGACAAGATTCAGGACCCCAATGGAAATAAGTTAGACATTCCTCGATAACCATCCGGAGTTAAAAATCCTAACGAAATCTTATCTTATCTTAACATATTATTTACACATAAAAAATAAAACAGCTAAGTAACTATATATGATAATTGTATTTAATTTAAACTTAAGTTTTTCATTTCTTTGCATAGCATACAATGTGTGATTTTATACAGTATTGTTAAGCACGAAGAAAGCCACTAAATAAACTTACCCATTATATACCTCTGTAATCTTTTGTTTATCTCCCACAGACTGGGTATGGAGTGGACAATAGAAATATTAAACTTAACCACCCGGGGTCTGGGGATAAAATATTGTATTGTTAGAAAGGAGTGTTTCGGGTAGTCGTAGTCCCCTGGCTGGCTGCAAGATGGAAATAAGTCACTGACTTTTTTGAGTAATTCTAGGTTCTCTACACATATGCTGCTATGTATGGTAGTCTATTTAACTGTATTTGTGTATACCTGAATAAACTTGCTTACCTAAAGTCAGTACCTGATCAGCCGGGCTGTGGTTCTTACGTGCGACCAACAGTGACAGCCTGGTTAATCAGGCCCTGATCCACCATGAGGCCTGGTCACAGACCGGGCCGTGGGGGCGTTGACTCCCGAAAACCCTTTTCAGGTATACTTCAGGCTTGCCTGGTAGCGCTCTCGGCTCAAGCACACTGGGGTCCGGGTTCGATTCCCGTCACAGGTGAAACACTGGGCAAGTGTCCTTACACCTGTTATTTCTGTTCACCTAGCAGTAAGTAGGTACCTGGGTGTTAGTCACCTTACACCTACCATCCCCGTAAGTAAATAAGACAGTTATAATAATAATAATAATAATAATAATAATAATAATAATAATAATAATAATAATAATAATAATAATAATAATAATAATAATAATAATAATAGTAATAATAATAATAATAATCATAGTATTTATTTGTAAAAGTACATGTCAGAGTGACTTGTACATGTACAAGTCACTGACTTTTTTGGGGGGTTGTCCTAGGTAATTTACACTATGTATGATAATTGTACTTATGCGTACCTGTACCTAAATAAACTTACTTACTTGCTTATTATGTCGTCAAAATATTACAGAGGCATAATGAGTCCAGAAACTTGGGCCCAAAGTTTTGATAGCTAGGTTAATTACAGTGGTAATGAACAAGTTACATGTTTAAATCTGGTCACACTCGTAATGAGTTAGGTTAGAGCTGATGTAAGTCGAGATTCGAACCCCGAACCTCAGTGTGTGAGCTGAGTATACTAGTGATCGAGTTACGGGAAACCCATTGATACTCTGGGTAATGTTAATGTAAATATTGAATTTCCTTTACACATGTCGCTATATATGATAATTACTTATATGGACCTGCACCTAAATAAACTTTATCATTCCTATAGAGATTTGGGTAAAACCCCAGTGGAAATTTAAGGATTGCAATGTAAATAAGTCACTGACTTTTTTGGGTTATCCTAGGTAATGTACACATAAGAACATAAGAAAGAAGGAACACTGCAGCAGGTCTACTGCCCCATGCGAGGCAGGTCCAAGTCTCCCACCGGCTTAAGCCAATACCCCAATCTAGCCAGGTCAGGTCACATTCACTTGAAGATGGAGCACGGCATCTGACCTAGTAGCACAAGCTAGCCAGGTCCAACTCACACCCACCTGCACCCACTCATGTATTTATCTAACCTATCTTTAAAACTACACAACGTTTTAGCCTCTGTAACTGTACTCGGGAGTTTGTGCCACTCATCCACAACTCTATTACCAAACCAGTGCTTTCCTATATCTTTCTTGAATCTGAATTTTTCCAACTTAAAACCATTGCTGAGAGTCCTGTCTAGGCTAGATATTTTTAGCACGCTATTTACATCCCCTTTATCTATTCCTGTCTTCCATTTATACACCTCAATCATATCTTCCCTAATTCTACGCCTTCTTAGAGAGTGCAGCTTCAGTCTATCCTAATAGGAAAGATTTCTGATACATGGGATCAACTTTGTCATCCTCCTCTGTACGTTTTCCAGAGCATTTATATCCATTCTGTAATACGGTGACCAGAACTGAGCAGCATAGTCTAAATGAAGCCTAACCAAGGATATATAGAGTTGAAGTATTATTTATACTTCTAGATATGAAGCCAAGGATTCTGTTAGCTTTATTGCAAACACTAATGCACTGTTGTCTTGGTTTTAGATTAATGCTAAACAGAGCTCCCAAATCCTTTTCGCAATCAGTAGTATTAAGCTCTACATTATTTAGTTTATATGTATGTGTGCTCAAATTTTTAAATAAATAAATAAATAAATATGTGGCATGGTTATTTTCCTGTCCAATGTTTAGAATTTTGCATTTATCCATATTAAACCATCTGCCACATGCAACTGTATGTATGTGTACCTGTACCTGAAGTTAGTCTTAAGTTTGCTCAAAATGCTCTGCATATATAGGAGCTTTCGGCATGTACAGTTTATATTATTCTCCATTGTACAACCACTGTATCATGCTGAAATAAAATATTATTACTTGGTGACTCACGAAATCGTAATGACACGATTGCAAACAACCCATACCCCGGCCGGGATTGAACCCGCGGTCAATCGTGTCATTACGATTTCGTGAGTCATGTTGACGGCAGTGAGGGGACTTGAGCTAGAGTTCGTCACGGCCACGCTAGCTGGAGATTCGTCTGTAAAAACTTGCATTTGTGGTCACAGTGGTGCCTGTGCTAACCTAACTTTGGTGTAGAAATATACCTAGTTGGATGAATCTTATTGTGGCTAGCTGGTCTAGTGGCTAACGCGACGGTCTGCAGTTTTGAGACTCTCTGACCGCGGGTTCAATCCCGGCCGGGGTATGGTTTATTATTACTTGGTTCGTGAGTGTGAATAAATAACAAAAAGGCACAATACCGTGACTGGAACGATACACAAATAACCCGCTTGTTAAGGCTCAGTAAACATCAGTGTTGGTGGCCCTTATTAACCCCACCATCACCACAACGTGTTGGAGACATTGCTGAAGGCAACTTTATTTTCTTTTCTATTTCTTTTTTTTGCACAGATTTTGGCAACATTTTGTCTGGAGTGTGTAGTGAGCGACACTTGTAACTTCCCAAGAGAAGAAGAACACTGGTAGCGCTGTAAATTGTTTCAGACCAATAAGAGAGTAGTCAGATAGAAGAAAATATTACAATATGGCAGAGTTTGTGGAGAAGAACATAGAAGAAACCATTCCTGAAGTTGAGGAGATGGAGAGGATTGGTCTTTTATCATCGAAAGAAGTAAAGTAAGTGTTCTTGGGTTAATTTCACTGATGGTTTTTCAAATGCCAATTAGACGTTCAGTATTATATTTCAAGGTAATCTTATTTCAAGGTAATTTTTATCTTGGTTAACATTTTCTGGTAATTATATCTTCTCAAGGGAGGTTTCTTGATGCTGAAGGGGCTCTTGATATTAAGATTTACACCTGTGCTTCACTTCTTGAACTGAGCTTCATTACCTTCCATCCTTCTGGTCTCTGTATAACCCGTATGGGTTTAGTGCTCCCTCATCAGTGTAATAATAATCAGGTAATTATAAAGGTTATATAAATCTAAGAAGGGAGGATGCTGTGATACAGCTGAAGTGTGAAAATAAGTCACTTTGTGTGACTTGCGAGTTAAACTGGTAGTAACAGCCTAGTTGATCAGGCCCTGATCCATCAGGAGGCCTGGTCATGGACCGGGCCGCGGGGGCGTTGATCCCCGGAATAACCTCCAGGTAACTTACACTATGTATGATAATTGTACTTATTTGTACCTTACTAAGTAAACTTACTTGCTAAATGCAAATTTCACTGTTTTATTTACTATATATAATTAATAAATAAGAACTGGAAGTGTTTAGTTGAAGCTCTGTACTTAAATTTACATTTATTTTCTGCCGGTAAATTATCATAGCTTCAGTATCACATATGCTGTCAAGTATTAATATATTTTTTACATTTTTTTTTTGCAGAAAACTTATTCAGACGAGGAGGGATTTCCACTATCGCCTTGTCCGAAAATCAAAAAATAAGGCTGATTATATTAATTATGTTAATTATGAGAGAAAAGTTATTGACCTGGTGAAAATTAGGCGAAAGGTAATGATTTGGATGTTTAAAGTTATAGTTATTGTAATTTTCATGAATTTGGTCTTTTTAAATTATGTGATATCAGTGTGGATCTCTCTGGTAATGCCAATTTCAGTAGCTGAGTAAATAATGTTAATTTCTCTCGGTTTTCTATTTTTAGCAAATTGGAATACGAGAGAAGAGCAAACAAATTGAAACTGCAATATGCAAAAGAGTTATGAAAATGCTACGTTACTTGACACGTGTTTGGCCATCCCACCTTGATACTTGGAAACTTAGGACTAGTTTTGCCCAGCATATCGGTTGGAAAGATGAGGTATAACTTTAATTAAGTTCTGTAATCAAGATTACCTTGTTTCTGTTTTGCTCTTTGGAACTTTTTTCTGATAGTATATCACACAAGATTGTTTTGGTATTTGCTTCTTGCTTTAAACACTTGCTAGTATTTTTTGTTGTGTCATGAGTGTTGTTGAATAATATAGATAGGGACATGAATGCTAAAATATTATTCACATGAAACAGCATGCTTATTATGTAAAATGCAGTATAAAGGTATATTGATGTGCGTTTCAATATTATTTAAAACCTGATTTCAGTAAACTAATTATTTATTATATTTTTTCAGATAGGTTTTGCCTTTGCAGAACAGATTCGTTATCATGGCAACCGAGAAAATGTATGGGTGGCTTGGGCAAAATGGGAAATAGAAGAGAGGGAAAATTTTGATAAAGCTAGAAAAATCCTCCTTTCTACAGCTCAACTATACCACCCTAAGTCACATTTTATTAAAAGAGAGGTAAGACAATAAATATGCTATACAAGGACCTATTCATTCTTGTTATAGCATCAGTGATATGAGACTTAGAGAAATGGCCAGTGGAAATTGGTGTGGAGTGTATGATTTTCAATTGTGATATATACAGTGGTAGGTTGGTAGACAGCAACCACCCAGGGAAGTACTACCGTCCTGCCAGATGACTGTGAAACAAAAACCTGTAATTGTTTTGCATGATGGTAGGATTGCTGGTTTCTTTTTCTGTCTCATAAACACGCTAAGATAACAGGGATATCTTGCTACTCCTACTAACACTTTGGTCACACTTCACAGACACGCACATGCATATATATATATACATACATCTAGGTTTTTCTCCTTTTTCTAAATAGCTCTTGTTCTTTTTTATTTCTTCTATTGTCCATGGGGAAGTGGAAAAGAATCTTTCCTCCGTAAGCCATGCGTGTCGTATGAGGCGACTAAAATGCCGGGAGCAATGGGCTAGTAACCCCTTCTCCTGTATACAATTACTAAAAAAGAAGAAGGAAAAACTTTATAAAACTGGGTTGCTTAAATGTGCGTGGATGTAGTGCGGATGACAAGAAACAGATGTTTGCTGATGTTATGAATGAAAAGAAGTTGGATGTCCTGGCCCTAAGCGAAACAAAGCTGAAGGGGGTAGGAGAGTTTCAGTGGGGGGAAATAAATGGGATTAAATCTGGAGTATCTGAGAGAGTTAGAGCAAAGGAAGGGGTAGCAGTAATGTTAAATGATCAGTTATGGAAGGAGAAAAGAGAATATGAATGTGTAAATTCAAGAATTATGTGGATTAAAGTAAAGGTTGGATGCGAGAAGTGGGTCATAATAAGCGTGTATGCACCTGGAGAAGAGAGGAATGCAGAGGAGAGAGAGAGATTTTGGGAGATGTTAAGTGAATGTATAGGAGCCTTTGAACCAAGTGAGAGAGTAATTGTGGTAGGGACTTGAATGCTAAAGTAGGAGAAACTTTTAGAGAGGGTGTGGTAGGTAAGTTTGGGGTGCCAGGGGTAAATGATAACGGGAGCCCTTTGATTGAACTTTGTATAGAAAGGGGTTTAGTTATAGGTAATACATATTTTAAGAAAAAGAGGATAAATAAGTATACAAGATATGATGTAGGGCGAAATGACAGTAGTTTGTTGGATTTGTATTGGTAGATAAAAGACTGTTGAGTAGACTTCAGGATGTACATGTTTATGAGGGGCCACAGATATATCAGATCACTTTCTAGTTGTAGCTACACTGAGAGTAAAAGGTAGATGGGATACAAGGAGAATAGAAGCATCAGGGGAAAAGAGAGGTGAAGGTTTATAAACTAAAAGAGGAGGCAGTTAGGGTAAGATATAAACAGCTATTGGAGGATAGATGGGCTAATGAGAGCATAGGCAATGGGGTTTGAAAGAGGTATGGGGTAGGTTTAAAAATGTAGTGTTAGAGTGTTCAGCAGAAGTTTGTGGTTACAGGAAAGTGGGTGCAGGAGGGAAGAGGAGCGATTGGTGGAATGATGATGTAAAGAGAGTAGTAAGGGAGAAAAAGTTAGCATATGAGAAGTTTTTACAAAGTAGAAGTGATGCAAGGAGGGAAGAGTATATGGAGAAAAAGAGAGAGGTTAAGAGAGTGGTGAAGCAATGTAAAAAGAGAGCAAATGAGAGAGTGGGTGAGATTTATCAACAAATTTTGTTGAAAATAAGAAAAATTTTGGAGTGAGATTAACAAGTTAAGAAAGCCTAGAGAACAAATGGATTTGTCAGTTAAAAATAGGAGAGGGAGAGTTATTAAATGGAGAGTTAGAGGTATTGGGAAGATGGAAGGAATATTTGAGGAATTGTTAAATGTTGATGAAGATAGGGAAGCTGTGATTTCGTGTATAGGGCAAGGAGGAATAACATCTTGTAGGAGTGAGGAAGAGCCCCGTTGTGAGTGTGGGGGAAGTTCGTGAGGCAGTAGGAAAAAAAAAAGGGGGTAAGGCACCCGGGATTGATGGGAAAAAGATAGAAATGTTAAAAGCGGGGGGGTATAGTTTGGGGGGTTTGGTGCTTTTTTTTTAATAAATGTATGGAAGGGGGAAAGGGGTACCTAGGATTGGCGGGGCATGCTAGTTCTTTGTAAAAGGGAAAAGGGGAAAAAAGGAGTGAAAAAAATTATGGGGGGATAAGTCTGTTGAGTGTCCCCGGGTTTAAAGTGTAGGGTGGGTTTTAAAATTTAAAAGATTTAAGAGTAAGGGAAAAAATGGGATGCAGATGAACAAGGAGGTTTTGGGGAAAGGTAGGGGGTGTGTGGACCGGGTGTTTTACAGTGAAACATAAAAGTGAACAGTATTTAATTAAGGCTAAAGAGGTCTTTTTGGATTTATGGTTTTGGAAAAGGGCGTATGAAGGGTGGTGGGGGGGGCAATGTGGCAGATGTTGCAAGTGTATGGTGTAGGGGGTAGGTTAGAAAGCAGTGAAGGTTTTTACGGGTTGGGGCTCAAGTTAGAGTTGTAGGAAAGAGGGAAAAATTTTTCCAGTAAAAGTAGGCCTTAGACAAGATGGTGTGTCCCCGTGGTTTTTTAAATATATTATAGATGGGGTTGTAAGAGAAGAAAAAGCGGGGGTTTTGGCCCAAGAGGCGTGGAGTTAAAAGATAAAAAAACACACAAAAAGTGGGATTGTCACGCTGTCTTTGTGATGACATGGCTCTGGGAGATTCTGAAGAAAAGTTCGAGTTGGTGGATAAATTTTGGGTGGGGTGTGAAAAAGAAAAAATTAAAGGTGAATCAGGAAAGAGTAAGGTTTGAGGATAACAAAAAATTAGTGATAAAAAGATTGAATATCAGATTGGAGGGAGGGGGTTAGGGGAGGGAAGTATTCAGATATTTGGGAGGGGATTGTCAGGGATGGGTCATAAAAGATGGGTAAATCATGAATTGAGGGGAAAAAAGGTGGGGGCATTTAGGAGTCTGGGAGACAAAGAATTTTGCCCTTTGGGGAGGCAAAGGGGGAAGGGTTTGGAGTATAGTTTTACCAACGCTCTTATAGGGGTGTGAAGCTGGGGATGATGTTGCAGCGAGGAAAGGCTGGGGGCGGGGAATGTTGTTGAGGGCAAGGTGGTGTGAATAATGCAGAGAATTTTCTTAGTTTGGAAGTTGGAGGGGTGCGGGTTACCAAAACTGTTGTCCAGAGGGCTGGGGAAGGGTTGTTAGGTGGTTCGGAATGTGAGAGAAGGAGCGAAAAAAATGACTTCAAGGTGTATCAGTCGTGTGGAAGGAAGGGGGGGTAGGGGTCGGCCTAGGAAGGGTGGGGGGGGGGAAAAGGGGGTTTTTGTGTGGGGGGGCTTGGATTCCCCAAAGGCAGCTTGAGGTGTTTGATAGGAGTGAATGGAGACAAAGGGTTTTTAATACTTGCGGCTTTTGGAGTGTGAGCAAAGAAAACATTTATGAAGGGATTCAGGGAAACCCGGGAGGGCCGGATTTAGCCTGAGTGGGAAATACGTGCCTGCACTTGAAGGGGGGTGTTAATGTTGCAGTTTAAAAAACTGTAGTGTAAAGCACCCTTTTGGGAAGACAGTATGGAGTGAATGAGGTGAAAGTTTTTTTTTTTTCGGGGCCCCCCTGCCTTGGTGGGGAAACGGCCGGGGTGATAAAAAAAAAAAAAAAAAAAAAAAACAGTGGGGGCCCCCCGGGTTTAAAGATATTTTTTCATTCCAGAAGTTGTTCAGGGGCCATACTGACTGAATTTGTTCCCCTAAGGAAAATTTGAAGTAGATTTTTGTCCATTTTTAGGGGCCCCCCAAAAAAATTTCACGCACAAATGCACTTACGTAAATACACTTACAATTGGTCGCATTGGGGGGTGATCGTTAAGCGGGGGGCCATGTATATATTTTCCCCTTTAAAGGGAGCCCAATCCCCTTTGGGAATAAAATAAACAAAGTTTAAATTTAGAAAATGCAAATGTTTGGTAGTAGTACAGTGCATGCAGTTTTTTAGTGCAAAAGTGAAATTTTTAACTAGAGAGGAAAAGGAATTATAGTACTGTTATATTTATGTGATGCACTAAATTTGTGTGGGTTCTTTGGTACAAGGAGAGGAGGAGGCTCAGTGCTCTCTTCACTAAGAGATGGAAATTCTCCAGCCAGGCTTTCTCTAAGATTAAATGCAGATAATAATTTTCCAGCTATTTCGTCTTGAGCTGCTGTATGTTGAATCGCTGATGAATAAGATGAAGAATGGCAACAATACTGGCTTGGAGGAAATCATTCAAAAAATGTGAAAAAAAAAAGGTAGGGTTTTTGTCATTTTCAAACAAAAGTACAGAAATTGAATATATAGCACCCAAATTGGTGTAGTAAATATTTCTTTTTTTCTGTTCTGTTTTTGAGTCTTCAGATATCAGCCCTCTTGTTTATCTGTTTTGCATTTTTTTTTTTTTTATGAATTCTCTTTAAACAGTTTTGGCATTGGCTTGTTAGTTGTTTAAACTTTTTTCTTCTTTTAACAAACGGGCCCATATCCCCCCCAAAGGGGGGGGCCCAAAGAGAAAAACAAAAGATTCTCATTTCAATTTTTGTAATGTAAGGGGAAAAAGGGGTTTACTACCCCTTGCCCCCAGATGTTAGTCCCCTTGTTGACTACATGGTTTAACAGGGAAAATTCTTTTTCCCCATTTCCCCCAGGGAAGTACAAAAAAATTCTGGCCACAAAAATAGAGCGAAACACCAACATAAAAAGACCTGGGAGTGATCATGTCGGGGATCTCCCCTTAAAGGACCATAACATTGTATCAATCGATCTGCTAGAAAAATGACGATGGATAAAAAAACCCTTAAAACTAGGGGGGGCCCAAAGCCATGATGACACTTTCGGGCACTTGTTCTTTAGGGGGAATATTGCTGAAACCCTAACGCACCTTTAAAGGGCAGGTGAAATTGCCGCCTAGAAAATGACAGAAAACTTTCACGGCGCGCAAAAGGGAAAAAACATCAGTTTGGGCGTTTGGGGTTTCCTAAACTGTTTCCCCGGAAAAGCGGAGGGAGAATACATGATTTTCCCCGGGAAAAAATCCTAGAGGGCAGTCCGAACTTGCAATGAAAACCGCCTACAAAAGAAAAAAAGACTTGGCGACGATGCCCATCCCCAATAAAAAAGCAGGGGTGCCCCTAGCCTTTAAGAGACCTTACAATAAGTGTCAGGGGCCCCAAAAATGTTAAAACTACCCCCAGTCACATAAGGGGGATCCCACGCCCCCTGGCAGTCTTAAGCGGCATGGACAAGCACCTAAATCGTTCCGGTTTCGGGGGCTGTGGCTCGTCGTTGGTTTTGCGTGCACCAGCAGCAACAGCCGGGTTTGATCGGGCTCTGATCCCCAGGGGGGCCCTGGTCACGCCCGGGCCGGGGGGGGGGTGCCCCCCAAACTCTCTCCAGGTAACTCCAGGGATAAAGGAAAAAACAGAACTAGTAAGAAAATGAAAAAAAAAACCAGGGGGGGTGTGTAGTTTGTTTTGTACTTTCAGTGGTTAATAGAAGAGAAAACGTACCTAAAAATTTGCATTTTATGGACAGAAAAAAGCACCAGCAATCCTACCATCATTAAAAAAAAATTCAGGCTTCCATTTTACACCCCTTTGGGGCGGTGGTTGTACCCCCCGGGATTTGCGTCCCAACCTACTACCTGGAGTTTTTTTAAACATTACCTATATTACTAAATTTTTTATTCTTACCATTTATTAACTGGGTATTTGAAATGTTTTTTCCATTTTTCTTTTGGGACTTCTTTAAAAAAGACTGCTTACATCTTAGTTTTTTTTTGCATTCATCCCCTGTGCCTCTTTACTGTCTTATTTCCCTTCATTTCATATTCATATCTCAGCTTTATTTCGGAAAATGCCACAGATTTTGCCCCAGTTTTAAAATTTTAAAAACTGATCTCTAAGAGCATATATTTTTGGAAATAGGTGCTGAACGGCAGTTTCCAAGGCAGTTACCAAAAGCGTCACTTCACTCCCCGATCCAGAGTTGTACCCGCAAACTCTACCAAGTACGATAACATAAGTTTTCTCACACACTACGAGGAAATTTACAGGTGACTTGATTTTCACTGAATGCAACTTTCAATTTTTTCTTAAATGAATTTCCATCTTTGTCTTTTTTTTTTATTAAAAAAAGTCTTGAGGAAAGCCCCTGTAGTAAGCACAAGATGTAATAATTGTGTAGTCATTTTTTTTTCTTGCCCCCTTTGAAAATCCTTTTTCCATCATTGTCAAAATTTCAACCAACTCTGTTTTCTTTATTTCAAGAATTTTTCTTAAATTTTTTTTTTATATTTTCTTTTATTTTATTTGGAAATTTAGGGAAAAGCCAGAGAGTCTTGCTTTGTACCTACTACATTTCTCCCTTACAGTATTAAAAATACTGTCGTTTTCTACTTTAGATTAATATTGCATCAGGCTTTTAGTCTCTTCCTATACATAAGCTGTATCTCTTTACCCTCACTCATTCTCATAAAATCTTGCCATATTCTTTGTTTCAGAGATGTTTGTGTTAAGTTCCCTAACACTGCTGGTGTGTGGAAGCTCAAGGCTCAAAAATGGGGTTTTGGCTTAACGCTAGTCGAATGTGAAGGACATGAAAATGATGTAACTACTGGCAGAAATAAAGAAGTAGCTGACAGAAAAGTGAATAAAGAAAATATGGACAGTTATGAGAAAGAGGAAGAAGGCATTGCAGTTGATACTGAAAAAGAAGAGGAGGGGAGTAGAAACTGAAAAGTGTTAAAGAAAAAAAACAAAAAGTGAAGACCTTTGAGAGAGTGTGAAATGATTTAGAAAAATTCTGTGGGATGTGGCCAGAAGTGAAGATGATATGGTTAAAACAGAAAGAACAAAAAGCTAGTAATGTGAATGTATTTACATACAGATCAAACTATTGAGAAAAATAGTTTCTGATAAAGAAAACAAAAATGCCCTAGATAACAAAGTTGTATCCCAATCTGCCCGAAAAAATGGTCCAAGGGAATTTGGGTTTGTAATAATTTTTCATGCACTTAAATTTTTCTTAATTTTTTAGGGGTGTGCCCTTTTTCAGAGATCATCTAGACTCTAGAGAGGGACTGGCTGGCCCAACACCCTTTGGAAAAATTAGAGTAAGTGCAAATATATTTTTTACCCCTTTCCCAATGATTTTTTTTCTTTGGCTGAATTGACATTGCATGGACATTTAGTTCTATTTCATGTTCACTTCCACAATTCTTTTTTAACGAATGTTACTTTCTCCTATTTTTCTTTATTTCTGTATCTCAATCTTTGACAGCAGCAGTGACAAGGAGGGGGCTTCAGCCCCCAAAAATCCTCTCTGCCCTCCCAAATAAAAATGGTAATAATAATACTGCTTCAGAATAGGTCTCCTAGCCCCCTTCCAACCAGATAGCCCCACCTATGCCACCCCTCTCCACCCCCAACACACCAGTATAGAAGTTCTGGCACTGCCCCTGATCTTTGACTCCTTGTTTTTACAGAAACTCTGCCTTTAAATAGGTGGCACTAGCATGAAGGCTATATTACTGATGGCTTCATAGTCTGTCTTTTCAGTAATCCTCCACTTTTTGTCTATGAAGTTCATTTTTGCATATCTTATGTGCATACCATCATTCTCTCCATATATTTGAATCATAATATAGTATGTCTCAACTTACTCTGCTGCTCCAGACACCTCATCTGTGACCTCCCCATTTAGGTACACATCACTTTATTGCTTATTTGTCTCTGCCTACATTGGTCACATTCATTTCTAAGATAATTTTAACAACCTCAATTTTGCAAATTTATGCCTCATTCCATGCTCTTACCACACTCATAGGTCAAGGTTAGCAAAAGTATGATTTCATTCAGTCATCTTTGTACTGTACTGTACTGACCACATCACTACCTCATGTAAGCCTTCTTAAGGTTCTAGTCACTTTTTTTACCATGCACTACCTTATTTTTTGCCTCATATTACACAACATTTAACCTAAATATGTACGTATAATTGTATATACATTGGTTGACTTCTTATTGTGATTCACAACATATTCAAAATCTATATTCTATTTCATTTTGCCTTTTTATTGTGCAAAGTTAAACAATATTTACCTCTAAATTTTGATGTCTTTCAGAAACTAGCACTGTTTCTCTCAGCACTTTATATTTCTTAGATTGTACATTATAGTATGTGAACCTCATCTCTATTTTTAGTACTCAAACTGCAAAATGATTAAGGTGAATATAAAGTTTTGTAGTTAATAGTCTTGAATTGAGACAAAGCAAATGATCTATCAGCATAAAATTTGTAATGAAATTTACTCCTGACAATATCTTCAACAGCTGGAATGTATTATATTGGCATTTGATGAAGCCACAAGAGTAATTGGAGGAAGCTTTTTAAATACCTATATTGAAGAACTTTTGCCACTACTGTACCAGTGCTGGGGTGCAGCAGACATGACTGACCTCATATTCAAGAAGCTGATTAGTTTTTCTGAGACACACACACGATGTATTATCTCCCCTTAGTTTCTTTGTTTTGGTAAGTTTTTTTATATAAAATGTGTCAGTATCAAAGCTGTTGTAAATATGGTTGTTTAGTTTTTCAAATATATTTATATATTATAGTGAAGCTTAAAATACTGTGTAAATTAGATAATTTGAATAATTCATGTTTCCGCTCTGCTGTCAGTATGGATAAATAGACATTATTTATATAACAGTATAACTTGGTGATTATAGATTGGCAACCATGAGTTAATTAATTACTGTAACTAATCATTTCTTTTTAAGTTCAGAAAATGCAAATACTCTAGTACAGTACAGTGTACATGTATTTCTAAGGATTAATTTACACATCAACTATAATTCAGGTTTGCAAAATCTTTTTGCATAGTTTTGCTCCCAGAATTGTTCTAATTAGTATTTTTTGGGTATAAGTTTTTATGTTTCATATAATTTTCTTCCTAAATCATAAGTTAATGCTCTAGAAAGACATGTAAATATGTACAGTACTGTATTTCTTTTAAAGTCAGATGCTAGAAGGCTTATGTTTGGGATTTGAAAATAATTTTTATTTAGCATTTGCTTTGTTTTTTGAAAACACTGATTGAAATAATGTTTTGTGTGTGAATCCTGTATAACAACTGTCATTCCTCAGTGTCAGGTGATGTGTGAGATGTCACTGCCCATCAATGATATACAGTCAGTTTTGGAAGAGGCGATCAAATGTCACCCAGAAGTAGCACATCTGCGCTTGAAGTTTGTACAGCTTATCATTAGAAAATTAAGCAATAAGCAGATGATGGAAGGTATTTAATGTACTCTTGAGTTATTTAGCTGCATGAGGTGTCTAAATACCCAATCCATATATTCAGTGGTTTGTTGCTAATTCTTGATTCTCTATCTTCTAAACTTCCCTTGCCATAGAGATGGGTTGTTTAGTTAGAGAACAGCTCCTTATATCACTTGTTTGTGTACAGTAAGTGTCCAGCTGCTTCTACATTATCTGACTTCATCGTTACCATTCACTGCGCTTAATATGTATGATGTCTGGAACACTATTCTTGTAGTCTATCCCTTAAAATGCTCCCAAAACATGATTCAGTAATATTCATTTGAAGTGTAATATTCTGTATAATGCATGTTATTTCTCTCAAATGTAATTTTTTCCTTCCACACACATTACATGATTTTTGCCAGGTTATGTTGTTATTCGTAATTTACACTACTTTATGTACATATTATCCTCAGTTTCTTTACTTCAGTGGATGTTATTTTATAAAATTATTTCAATCTTCCAAACTGTCATGTTGTGTAAGTGCTTCATAAACACATTTGTGCATTCAATATTTATAAAATCCTAACCAATGCACAAATAGCCCGCATATAGGAGAATGAAATTTATGATGCTTTGTGTTTCTGTGTGACTAGTTAATGGTCCAAGTCGGACTGAAATGTTGCCATAAGTTTCATTCTCTTATGTGTGGGTTATCTGTGTAACAAAGACTATTTCTTGAAGGACGTAATAGATCCCATAGACACAACACAAGAAATAGATGTTATATTGTATCTCTCTAATGTCCTTGAGGGCAAACAACTTGATGTAGAAACTCGTTTCGTGTACAGTGTAGATCCTAAAATGGTATAATAGCTTACCAATAGCTGAATTTTCCTTTCTTTAAACTATATGTAATAGTTTTGCAGTTACAACTACAGTAAGGCCTCTGTATATACTGTAGCCATATTCCTTATCTTCTGTGTATTTTTTCAGATTTTGCTCTGCTTTAATTGTACAGTGGACCCCCGGTTAACGATATTTTTTCAATCCAGAAGTATGTTCAGGTGCCAGTACTGACCGAATTTGTTCCCATAAGGAATATTGTGAAGTAGATTAGTCCATTTCAGACCCCCCAAACATACACGTACAAAGCACTTACTAAAT